CTTTGATAAACACTTTAATGCAGCAATAATTATAATTAAAACATATAATATATATTATTCTGAAATGGAACAATCTGCATAATGAGTCTTCACTAAGATGTAAGATGTTGTGGGTGTCATTTGGAAATGTATAAAAGTATAATTTTTCTGCTTCCTGGCAATGTTACCCACTGTGATTGGAGGCATACAAACAAACAAATGTAAAAATAAAGATACACACCAAACAACTGTGTCACGATGCAACTGTCAACATCGTTTACCTATAGAAGTTGTTCTGACCCGGGGCAGATTGGACCACTTCCTGGAATGGGGTTGGTGCTCCATCCTATTTTTACCTAAGAAATAAGTGCAGTTGATCTAATTGTCATTTGTCATTGACAATGTCATTAGCACACAAAGGTATTTATTGATTTAATGTTCACAAATTCAAACCTACATGGCATTATTACATTTTTAATTTGTCTTACCCGATCAGACGCTGGTTGTGGGTGCCTGAGAGGTCTGATAAAGGTAAACAAAAAATATATTCAAACTACTACTGTTAAAACATTCTGCTTCTTGTGGCACAACATAATATGTTGACAATGTTTTATTTTACTCTGGCAAACTGTTGTCGATTCTTGGAGTGCTCACTTTAGGAACATTTTGAATGTACCACACCTGCATACACACAAATGACTGACTGAAATAAAATAAATTCACTTTAATTAAGAATAAATGCCACGATAAATCCAAACTGACCAAGGTGTCTGTAACGGAGGTGATCTCTGGGGCCGTAGATCTCAGTCTCCGTTACGTATTATATAGCTTCACTATTGGCGAAGTATATTCATTTGCTCCGCGGTAAAACATTGCACAGGAAGCATTTGATATAAAAGAGGACAAGAGCTTGTGTGGCGTTCAAACCCGTTTATTGAATGGTTGACGTCAGTATGAGAACACATTAATCCTTAATGTCAGGGGCTGGATTGGCACGCCAACCTATGGGTGAACAAAATGTGATTAGCGTTTCTAGGAATTCATTAGATGTTTAGATTAGACTAAGCAATATACATTTCGGTTATCAATTTGTCATAACATCGCTGCAGTAGTTAAAGGTCCCATGTCATGCTTTTCCGGTTATTACCCGTCCCCTTGTGTGTTATGAAGGTTTTTCTGCATGTAAACGGTCTGCAAAGTCACAAACCCTCAAAGTACACCCTGTAGCGAGTAAAACTCTAACACAGAAAATACCTGTCTATGCTGCCCCAGAACGCCTCGTTGGAGATTTCTCTTTTTCCATTGTTTTCTTCCTGGGTACAGTGACGTGCCCATACCCAAATGGACCCATTGGTCCAAATCGACAAATCCGTGGAGCCGTTACGTTACGTCCGCGTAGCCGTTAGGTTAAGTCTTGTGACTTCCTCACACACACACACTCACACACTCAATCTTTTCTCAGCTGCAGCTCCGCCTATTTCTGAGCACACACACAAACTCCCAGCCAGGCTGTGGGTGTGTGTGTGTGTTCGGGCTGGTTTCGGCTGGGTTTCGCTGTGTCTCGCTGTCTCGCAGACGGCCACTGGGCTCATAGGTAGGGGGGGGAAGGAGCTCCAACAAGCCGTTTAGGACAGAGAGTGAATACACATACTATACAGAGATGCTGTATGAGAAACCAATGTGATTTTGGAAAATTGCACAATATAAATCTATTTTAGTATACCTCAACAATGGAAATATGATCAGTAGAAATGGCCATGACATGGGACCTTTAACATCATAACACTCATCTCCACCTGTTTTCCCGGCCCTTTCTCATGTCATCAAATGTCCCTCCCATAGACTGTATATATGGTCCCTCCTCGACTCCTCGACTCCTCGGTCCTCCGGTAGTGACCCGGAAATGAATTTTAGCGCGCCATGTTGAAGGACATCTCATTTCTCGAAATACACAGTGTGTGTGTGTGTGTGTGTGTGTGTCTGTGTGTCTGTGTGTATGTCCGCATCTGTAGCCTGTTATTGTCTCATTATACCGCACTGTGAATGAATTAAAAGTAAATATATAAGTCGTCATGAACACATCTGTCCATCAGACAGAGGGCTGCTGTGCCTCCTGTCATCATTAATGGACGTCTCTTTAAAATGACCGCTCAGAGGAGAGGAGTTCTCATTTCTCTAACCGCCTGCTGCTTCCCCTCCTCTCTCCTCGGTTCCCCTCCTCGGCTCCTCCGCTCGCATCTCCTGTGGGCGGGACTAAGTCTCGAGGATAGGAGTCGAGGAGGGGAGTCGAGGAGGGACATTTGAAGACATGAGAACGGGCCCCCGTCTCCGGTCCCAAGGTCCGTCACCGTAAAGAGTCCCCGGGGAAGCGGCGAACCCTCTTTTATCGTTCCGGATGGGGTTAAAAGAGCAGGATGGAGGCAGGGGTGGTTTTATATCATGTACATTGATCTTGTTGGTTTATAATATTTTTCTTTTCATACATTAATGAGGGATAATTTAATTAATGGATGTTTGTTATTCTCAACTAAATGTTTATTGTTATTTAACTGGTTTCCTTATCTGAGCTAACCATCTCTGCACATGCCACCCCTTTTGATGGTACGGTCCAATTGATTGGCCTATAAAGGGTGGCATGTTAGGCTCATTGAGGAGAGGGATAGTGTTGGAGACAGTCATATGGGGATATTGATGTTGTCAACCATGTACGAATGATGAATAAATTCCCACACCGGGTTGTATCAGGACGTTCTGCCTCTGCCTCCTTACTTGGTCGGGCCGCTCACTTGTCAGCCTCACAGTGTCAGAAAGGGGACTGTCTCCAGATGGCAAATTGACATGGACCACACTGTCCTCTTCACTTGAAGATGTTCCAGTGTAACCTAAGAAAAAAAAAAGTGTCATGATTGATACAAGTATAACATTTAAAATAATTATTCCCCTCCGTCTGTACCTATCATCAAATGTTGGTTTGAATCCTGAATTATTACATTGACATAAATCAGAAAGGATTACATCGAAACACAACATTTGTGTGAGATGTACATTATATTGTTGAGCGTCCTTTTAACTCTCACATTAGGATTTACATTGGGGCACAATAAACCAACTCCTCTCGTAGCACCTATACTATATCTATATGATATCAAGAGTTACATTTAGGTGCACAATGCTGTCTCTTGCAAGCTCTTTTACCAAACAAGCTAACGCTAGCTGCGTAAATATGACGCTCTTTGTATAAAAACAAAACAAAACGTACCTTCTTATATATCGACTTTGTCCACTTAAATCAACTTTCTTTCCTCCGGCTTCGATTTCCATCACTTGCTCGTTCTCTCTGGGTGTTTCTCAATGTCGAGGACGCTTGCTTGGTAGCACATGTACCTCCGAGTCACTTGCTTCAGAAGCGAGGCAAGAATCCTTCATAGCCTCGGAAAACGAAGAATTGTGGAACAGGCTAACAGGTGTGAGGCCCCGCCTTAAATGGAGCATGATTTCCGCCAAAGATTTGGAAATTGGTCCGTGTGCAAAGCATTGTGGGGATTTTAAGACCGCCGAGTCTACACATGTTCAGCCTCGAAATTTCTCGCTACGAAGTACGCCGGCCTCGGTAGAATTCCAAGTGCTGGACATTGGAACAGTCCTTCGGCGGCACTCGATGACGTAGGCCCAATCCCAAACCGCCCCCTACACCCTACCCCTACACACTACCCCTCCGTTTGCTCGTTCGCGCGGAGGGTCTGCCACATTAAGTGCTGTTCCAAACCAACGAGTGTGGAGCGGTGTGGAGGGGGAGTGGGCTATCAAGCCCTCAAACAGCGAGTCTGCAGCGGTGCTGACTGGAGACCGGTCTCTACCTGACCGGTCTCAACGCTGTGTGTGTCCGTCAAGAAACACGCTGTTTACAAGTAGTTCCAGCAAACATCCACTGATAAATTGCGATGTTAACAACCTCATGATAACCTCATATTTTTGTAACTTAGGATCCTACCTGTGTTTAGTCTAGAAAAAGGTAAATGTGTGCATTTTATTATAAAGTTGTGTATTTTTTCAGACTGTTGCAAAAACTAAGAAGCTTATAAACATCAGGTTTAAAACTAAAAGAGCTTTACAAAAAAATAACACAATGAAAGATGTTTGGAGTTTTATTTGAGTTATTAATTTACATTTTTTGTCTAAGAGATGCTGATTTGAAACCGTTGTTACATACAGTTACGGCATTTCCTGTTTCTGCCGGAGAGAGGGGAGTTTGTCCCAAAGCTTGCCGCTGTATTTACTCCCTCCATCTGACAGGAGGGAGCCTCATTCAGCTGCGAGTGTGGCTACAGACGGAGTTCACTCCGTCACGGAGGGGTAGGGTCGAGGGAGTGGTTTGGGATTGGGCCGTAGTATGCTTGAAATAGTGGCTCTGGAGCAGCCTTCCTCGACATTGAGAAACACCCCCTGTCTGGTCCTTCTTATTATTCATCCATGGTCTGGTCAGACATCAATCTGTTCCACGTAGCGCGCCCCTAGAGGCCTGGTGGCGGAGCACTTCCGGTATGTTTTTTTTTTGTATGTGTTTTTGGGTTTGTATGTGTTTTTGACTTTGCATGTCGTTTTTGTATTTGCAGCGTTTTTCTGTTGCGTTTGTTTTCAGGGTTTGTGTGTTGTATTTAGTTTGCATCATTTCTGTAAATGCAGCGTTTTTTTTTGTTGTATTTGTTTTCAGGGTTTGTTTGTTTTTAATTTCATTATTTGCAGGTGTTTCCTGCTTATGTATGCGTTTTTGGCCGTTGTTCAGCGTTTGCACCTGCCGGCCACCGTACTATTTTGAATACATATATTTTTAATATGCATTAAAACTGTCACAAAATTATCTATTCCAGGAAAAGATTTATATGAAAGTAACAGAAATCGCCAGGGTTCCCTTTTTGAATTTGGGCCCGTGCCCCCCATCTTCTGCACGTGCCTGTGTGGGGGGCTGTGTGTGTGTGTGGTGCAGTTGCGCCTCTGCACCAGTAGGTGTCAGAAGCTGTCGGCGGAAGTGGGTGCTCACAAACAGGTCAGGAGGTATCGCCACAAGGAATCTACAGCTGAGAAATCGAGTGATCCGAAAGGAGATTTTCCTAATAAAACAACATCCCTGCACCGGGTTAAACTGCCTTTGAATGCACCATGAAGCCTCAGCTGGCAGGGGCCAAGAAGCGCCTGAAAGCAACCGGATCCGAAGCGGCTCTATCTCTGCAACAGGAGCTTGTGGCAGCGATACATGGCGCGTTTGAAGTGGCTGTGGAAATCGCAGTTCGAGAGGTGACAAAGCTCGTAAGTGAGGCCACAGGAGATGCCTATGCGGAGATACAACGAGAGAACGAGTCACTCAAACAAAGACTGCAGAGAGCTGAAGCTAAGCTGGAGGAAAGAGGTGGTAGCTCTCCTCGTACCAAGCAGCACTTGAACGCCACAAGCCGCACAGATCAGCCACCTCACCTAAAATGCAACCAGAAAAGCTCTAATCCCAATGTGGACATCGTGTTTAGTGGCACTGGGGTCAAAGGTCATGCTCCTGTAGTAGGTCAGACTCACAGCCGTGTACACCAGCTCCCTGACCCCCAGTCAACACACGAGGAGCAGAGATCAGGTGACTCAAACACTCAGCATGTCAGTGAAGCAGCCTCAGAGAGAGCAGATGATGGAGGAGCTGTTGCCTGCCTGCTTGCCTTTACTGAAGGTAGGTAGCTGCTTTCATTTCCTACCACTCTACCTGTATAGGTAAAGTAGAACATGATTGCCTAACATGATGTGACACAGAAAAGATGTTGTATGTTCACATGGGACTGACTTTTTTTGACTCATTTTGCAGTATGACATGAACATGGCCCTTTATAATCAATCAAATATTAATAAAAAAGGATGAAAGCCTCTATCAAATAAATGTGCTAAATTAAGTAGGTGTATCAAGGACTAAAGCTGCCATCATGAGGAATTCACTTATTTATAAATGTAATACTTTGTAGAAGTTTTGAGAAAATAGATGGACCAGTTCTGTTTTTGCGTTTATTAACTCAGCTTTAGACCGTATTGGAAATGTGCTCTCAGCATTTTGCGTTACCATAGTAACACTGTCCAACTCTTACTGTTTTAGTGTGAAAGTAAACATCACAGAAGAAGACAATTAGAAAAGGCACCACAGATAATAGTGGATTTTGTTCAAACATTCTTTTAAAATATTTTATTTATCAGAATCTTGTTTGCTGAATTGTAATCACATGCGTTTGAAATGTATAATGACTATATATTAGGTACAATAACATTTAAATTAAATGTGGGTCACATTAGTTTAAGTAATTCATGTACACCATCTTTAAAATACAAATGTTTTTAGGAGAATTTTGGTTAATTTGTTACCAAGAGAATGCAGCGTCTAAACTTTGCAATGTACTCTAATGCCTTTCAAACAAAATGTAAATATAAAAAATCTGTAATCTATAAAAATCAAACCTTTTATTTGAACATTTTAAGAGTTTACAAATTGTGCTCAAGTAAATAACACAGTAACATGTCTAATGTAATTTTGCTCACTGCTGATCTTCTTGTTTACAGAAGTCAGTGATGAGATCTCCCGTCTGGTAAGGGTAGAAAGTATCAACCAGCCATGCCGAGAACAAACCGCTCATTACTCGCCACTATTTCCCAGTGTGGATGAAGAGTCTAGTTTAGACAATGTGACAATAAAGCAGGAGATCCTAGAAGAGGGGGAAGACGATTCAGCCTTCTGTTTGGACTCAATGAAAGTGGAGGATTTCAGCCCGGACTGCATGTCAGCGATCCAGGCTGAAATGCTGGTGGAGTGTAAACCAGAAGTGCTGGAGGGACAGATCGTCGAATCAAACGCTCCTCTGTCCTGCACCAGACTGGCTCAGGGTAAGAAGAAAAACAATTAGCGCAGAATACACCACAACATTTTAATTTTTTCTACCTGTGGGGCCAACTCTTCAGATATGAGATATATATTTTGTTATTATATTCTTTATCTTTTTGTTTTTCCTCTAAAACAGTTTTTCGACCTAAGTGCACTTAAAATAAAAGATATACCCATACTGATGTTTAATTTGACGGCCATTTAGACCCCTGCCTTATTATTTACTGCCTTTGTAGAATGGATGAGTTCTACAAACATTATGTTATCAGCCAGTTTGCATTATATTCATGTGACAATTTAGACTGCATCATAGGGCTGTGCGATTATGGCAAAAATCATGATCACGATTATTTTGGTCAATAATTGATATCACGATTATTAAATACGATTATTCATTGACTTTGAAAACATCCATTTATTGAACTTTAAAACAAATACAAATAATAATTTGAACAGTGTCTTTTTAACTGTTGATTACCCTGAACGTATAATTCAACTGAAAAACCAATACAAAAATAAATGATATCAAAATAATAAATACCAATAAACAAGATCAACAAATATTTTGGAGCACACTTCAACAAGCTACTAAACATATATAAATATGATAAATAAAAATAAATTAGACTAAAATAAATTAGATCAAATATGTCACAACCTAGCAAAGCAAAATAATCGTTTTTTTCGATTATGTTGTTTTCGTAATTGTGGCAGGCCAAAATCGTAATTGCGATTAAAATACGATTAATTGCACAGCCCTACTGCATCATCTCCGTGCAATCAATTGCTAAAGGTCAGCATTTAGACTTCAAATTTGGCATTTAGACTTCAAAACAACCACAGTGTAGTTGTTTATACGAGTTAAAAACGTTGGTCACAGGTTCCTTAATGCAATTACAAGACATAAAATAATAAGAATAAAAATAGTGCAAGCTCAGACGTTAAGTAGTCTTATGGCCTGTGGGATAAAACTGTGGGATAAATTATAGACTCAAACTAATGCATTTGAGTATTTTTATGGCAAATTTTATAGAAAAAAAGTGGACACTTCATATTATCATATTATCTGTGACTGGAAAAGTTAGTTTTTAAATATAAATGTCATTAAAGTGAATAAAAAAGTTTGAAACTCATATGACCACTAATCTCTTAGCATCTCTCTCCACAGAGTTACCAAACATCTTCCCTCTGGCAGAACCAGCTCCCATCCCAGAAGCCCCCCCACAGGGTTATGTCCACAGGAGGAATAGTCGCAACCTCGGCCACTCCGTCACCAACCTCTACGCCTGCAAGTCCTGCGGCCAGTCGTTCGCCATGCCCAGCCTGCTAAGGCGGCACCACAGCCAGTGCCAGCTGAGGCTTCAGCACTGCTATCCGCCGGTAGATGGAGACAAGAGGCCCAAACTGCAGCTTTTCCCCCCGGGCTGCAGCCCCTTCCGCTGCACTGAGTGCAACCGAGAGTTCAACCGCTTGGAGAACCTCAAGACTCACCTTCGCATCCACACAGGAGAGATGCCGTACAAATGCTCGGTTTGCTCCAAGTGTTTCCGTCACTCCGGGGCGTTAACCAGGCACTTCCGCATCCACACAGGAGAGAAGCCTTACATCTGCGGACAGTGTGGAAAGTCCTTCAGGAACTGTGGGGGGCTTAAATTCCACCAGCGATCACATAGCAAGCAACTACAGTAGTTTTCATGGACAAAGCAATTTTTAAATGGTCAAATCATTTTTGTGCAAAAGTGAAAAGTGGGTAATATTTTATCAGATACTTTACATATTTATGGCACACATATTTAGTCTTAACTGAAACCTGGGGGACATTTTTATCATCATTAGTCAAAACTTTATCTAACAGGTCTTACCTCTGAGATCCCATTTTTTTTAAGAGCTCTCAACCAGAAAGTAGGATCAGTTTAATTGATAAGAACTGTCAAGTGTATCATATTGAAGTCAAGCCATAGATTATTCTTTGACTGAAACAAAAACGATTAGCTGTATTTTCAGTGATGTTCAACAAATCAGTGTCTTCTCATTTGTAGAAAATAACGAGTAGAAATACAATGTATTGAAAATGTAACAGTACAATCAGCCACAACTGCGTACGATAGCTCAGTAGACACTTATTTATATGAAGTGTTTGGAACCTTTCAGTGTAACTCTACTCCACTTGTTTCATGAGTTATTAAATCATTTTTTTTTTTTTTAATAACAAGTATTGTTTTTAAAGTTGTTTTTTTCACTGATGTCTCTTGATATAATTTCATGGAAACTATGGACAACAATTCAAATTTAAGATTTGATTTTAAGCAGAGGTAGAAGGTATATTCAAGCCAAGAATGGCATGAGATGTATCAAGGTCAAGTAAAAAAAATAGCATCTCTGGAGTCTTAGACACTCAGACTGCCAGGAGAGGGCGAAACATATCACAAACTGTGTAATCACAATCTTATTATAAAATATATGGTTGTTGGTAAATGTGAGTTATGCAGGTGTTGAGACAGAGGGTCACATTTGCCGTTATTACTTATAATTGACATTTACCCAAATGCAACACATGTTCAACTCACAAAACATACTCAGTCAGAAACAAGTATTCATAAAACCTGCATAATCAAATGTCTCTTTCCCTCACGGAGAATCTCTCTAAGTTGAAGGTTTGATTTGCATAGGTGTGAAAACAGAGCTCTAAATTGTAAACTCAACCCTTTATCACAGCTAAACTGTCAGGGGAATTACTTTCTGCTGTGTTGGAATGTGTTTCTCTCCGTCAATGACAACTTTCCTCTCTGCCATGTTGAAGTGTCCTCAAGCTGTGCTACTATGAAACTGCCTCACTCCTTTAACAAGGCATTATATTGCTAATAATTTAAGTCTACTTCTGCTCAGCAATGGGATTTGCTCGTTGTTACATTCCAGGTTCTCTGTACTCACATTCAATTTGAGTTTAAGGTACATGTACACATACTTACATAAATATTTTATAACATCACAGCGAGAAAGCCAATCATGGTCCAATAAGCAAATTGATGTTGAAACTGCAGTATAAAGGGACATATATGGGAATAGGGGACATTTAATATCGTTTAGTTAAACTTTTTAAATTGAACAAACATTTGCATATGAATACTTCTTGCTTCTGGAGTAGCCTAATTGTAATAAAAAAAAAATACTATATCAGATGCATGTATTTGTCCTTCATGTAATGGGACTGCTACACTTTTTTTTCTTCTTGCCTTTTTACATAACTAATTTGCCAAATGATCAGAATAAAAACAATTGCTACGAAGGTTCACTGACTGGATAGCCATTTTGATTTATTTTCCAACATACACTTTATGTACGTCCTGACCACTAAAAGGAGCTTGCACAATGTGTGATTTTAGGAAAGCTCACACCACTTAAACTCATAGGTATACCGTCTTTAGTTAAAACTGATGTTTTAGTAATGAAAATATTGAGGTAAACTCTGCATCCAAAAATAATTGTACTCTATGATCGATTGCTTTGCACATATGCGTCTTTTCTGCCATCGATTACTCGGGCCTGGATTAAACAAGGAAGCGGACGTACTGAGGGAACAGGAAAGAGATAACAAAGCCAGCAAGGATAAGCAGCAAAACAAACTACCTGCGTTACCCGTCAACGGGACAGTTAAACTATTCGCCTCGTTTTGACAGGTTAATGTTCATGCAGGAGGGCAGGCTGCTGTCATGAACGGCGAAGAGCTTCCTTCCTCCGGGCTGAAGATGTCGGTGGGACTCGCTAGTTCCGCCTGAGCTCAGCTGCTGCTTCACAGGCTGCTGTCGGACACTCAGCCCGCGGTATGTCATTTTAGCTTCCTAAATCGACTGGGCTGCACCTACAATAATATCTCTATTATTATTCTGTCAGTGAGCCAAGTTAACCTTCCTGTCTGACAGCATCTGACAGCATCTGACAGCATCTGACAGCATCTGACAGGCCACAGCAGCACTGAGAGCTGCACACTGTCACCTATATCACCAAAAGAGAGATGGCTAGGGATGGAGTGTACTTTACATATGCTGTATATGTATACATGTTTGTCGTAAAAGGTTCTGAATACTTGTGTTAAGTGCTAAGACAGATAAGATTAGCCTTTATTGATTTCCAAAGGGGTAATTCTGGTGTTGCAGCAGCACAATAATCAGTACAAAGTTGAAAATTAGCATGCATAAATTGACAGTTTAATGCTTTGTGTCTCCAAGCTGACACATTCAAGCTGTGAAAAACCTTTGCTGTTGTTAGATCATTAGCCTCATTTAACATAATTCCTACCACATAGTATGCTGCATGCACTCTATTTCAGCATGTTTCTATAGTCTTGCTTTTGTGTAATGATCAGTATGCCACCACGGCCTGTGTTGCACCTGTAGCCCTACCTAACACACCCTGGAGAACACTTCAACATCACTGCTACAACATTCTGTTCAAGGGGAAAAGGGCCACCGCTTGTGTGGATGTCCAAATCAGTGTTGATGGAAAAATGTAGCCTAATGAAGCAATACATTCCTCAGTACATGCTATGTTGATGTGTGAGTAGCTGGAAAATCTGTTTTTTTCCATTAGCCACTGCTATTATTTGAGGTAACATTAACGTAGTTGGAGACAAGAAGGAACTACAGACCATTACAGGTTTCAAGTCTTTACCTCAGGTTAGTCAGGGGGCATTCTCCAATTGCAGCTCCAAAACAGAACTTCCTAAACCTGTTTTAAGTTGGCTTGAATTGTTACTATGTAGGTTTCCAACCGCGAAAATTACTTCCCAAAATATCAGTGTACTGGACAATGATACCTTTTACAGTTTTGGCTGCCTTGGGTATTCATTCATATTTATTGCAGCCAGAGCAAACGGTCAAAGAAATGCAGGAGGATATGGCACGTCAGAAGCTTGCACAATAGAATCGGAGGGATGAAACCCTTTTTAATGGTCACACAGCACACACAGTGACATTTGTCCTCTGCTTTGAACCCATCCTAGGACCAGGAGTCTAGTACTAAGAGCAGTGGGCAGCTATTGTAAAGCGCCCGGGGTGCAATGGGAGTGGGGGGGGGGGATGTCCGGTGCCTTGCTCAAGGGCACCACGGCAGGGCCCAGGAGGTGAACTGGGACCTCTCCAAGTAGCAGTCCACACTCCATATTTAGGTCTGGTCGGGGACTTGAACCAGCAACTCTACGGCTCCCAGTCCAAGCCCCTACTGACTGAGACACTGCTGGACTGTGCAACCTGGTACATAAAGGCTCTGTGGACAGGGAAACATTTTGACTCAAGATGGCACACACTGAGCAATGATTACATTTAACATCAACACCAAGTGGCCGATCAAATGAAAGATGGCAAATATTCCTCAAAAGTTGTTTTTTATTCAGGCAATCAAATGTTTTAGTCTCAATGGCCTGTGATAAACCAAATTGACCTGTCATTTTAATTGAGTTTTGAGTGTGACTTGAGAGGTCTTTAAACAAGGCTTGATGCCACCACACTCCTTCCCAAAGAAAAGACTGTTTCAATCTCTATTTTTCTCTTCTCATTGGGCCCGAACAGTGACATGTGTTTGTGTATATCTCTTTAGCAGGCTGTGACATTAGGAATCTTGTTGCCTTTTTCTCTGTCAATTCACCCTCTAAACCCTGCCTTCTTTTCCTCACTGTGTACAGACGATGCAGGGCGTGTCCCAGGACCCCTCACGTGGTGCAGGGGAAGGGGGGGAGATGGCACACACTCTATCCAAAGAGACCCCCGGGTCTCCAGATGCCTCTGAGTTGGGGAGCCCGCGGTGCACTCAGAACTTTGACCTCCTCAACATGGTTGTGTCCTATAAGAGGATGGCTCTGTTTCTAGAACCAGCTGCAGATGCTGTGGAGGTGACCCGCTTCCTGCTCGGGTGTGTATGTGTGTGTGTGTGTGTGTGTGTGTAGCCTATTTGAGCATAACAAATCGCTTTTCCCCATGAGCAGCAGGAAGAACATTTTAAACTCAATATCTGCCTTTTGTATCCCTCAGATGGAAGATGCCCCTGTGCTCTCTTTTTGTCTGTTTGTTCCTAAATGTCTTCTTCTGCACTATTACTGAAGGTAAGATGAGGCATTCGGTGCTAATATTGATGAAGCTTTTGCTTGGGGATTTAAAGGTCACCTATTGTGCAAAATCCACTTTTTCATGTCTTTTATACATAAACATGTGTCCCCTCTGTGTAAAGAGATTCTCTCTCTTTTTGTCCTGATCCATTTATATAAAAACCTGTCTGACAATGAGCTGATCAGATTTTGGCCACTTTATGATGTCATAATCGTTTGGCTTGTGTAACCATTAGCTAACCATTAGGTAACACCCCCACCTTATCACCTGAATCTCCTCCTAGAGCACCATTGTGTTCTTTTTAACCAAATATCTCTCAGAGGGGAGTGGGGAGTGGCTCCTTATTTTCATCTAAAGTAACACACAGAGAATCAGCACTTTTGAAACAGGGCTGAAACAGAGGGGATTATGGGATGCTGCAATGATCTGTTTGGTATTTGGAGCCAAACACTTCAGAGACATGTTTTGTTTATATGTGAGACCTATAATATATCGATGAAAGACAGTATAATAGGAGACCTTTAAAAGACTTGTGAATGATTTATTAACCCGCTGTTGTGTCTGCCTCTCTGGCCTCAGTGGGCTGGATCACAGTGGGCGTGGTGTCCGTGGCGCTGCCTGCTGCCCTGGGTTACCTGCAGGACAGGTGTGGGGGCAGAGCTTCAGATTCAGAGCTCCACAAGATGCGCTATCACGCCGTGCACCGCAGGGACCTGCAGACGGTGCACCTCACCAAACAGGAGGCCATGCTGGAAGTCAAAGACCTGTAAGGCTGCAGGGGAGGGGGGGGGTTTATGTTCTGCAAGGCTAATTACTAAGGATTATATTCATCACAGATTCATCTTCTAACATTTTTTTATTTTTTCTTAGATGTTAGCAGCCTAAAACCCCAAAAATATTCAGTTTACTACCGCATAATACAAAGTTAATACCATTTACAGTATTATCTTTAAGAAGCTTTTTTGGTATTTTTGCTATGAAAACAATAACAGTAATTAAACTACTTTAAGTTTATCATACATTTGCCTATTTATTTTCTGTTAAACCATAAAATGTACTTATCAGTTCAGCTTGTTTGTTATAGCGTTATAAATGCTTAGGAACTCTGTAAAGTATTCCTTGAACTTTATTTTCCCAAATTCCCTTTTTTTTTTACACAATAATAATAATGAATATCCTTGAGGCCTTACACATTTGGTTTATCCATTTCTTATGTTATAGAACATTTGCAAAGCCGTTTAAAAATGGGTCCCCAATCAATAAACTTTTTTCTACTACTCTTTTTGGAAGAAACTGTGGCTTGTTCCTACATGTTATATGTCCATGGGACATTTGTACATGGTGTTTCTTCACGTATGGGTTGATGTTACTACTGTGTTTGTGAATGCTCATGTTTTCTGTCTTCTCCAGGCTGAAGCACTTGGACGACATGCTGTCCTCTGCCTGCCTGTCAGCAGAAACCTTTTACAGAGTCCTGTACTGGGACGATCACACCACGTCATCAAGGTCTACACACACACACACACACACACACACACACACACACACACACACACACACACACACACACACACACACACACACACACACACACACACACACACACACACACACACACACACACACACACACACACACACACACACACACACGCAATAACACCAGTCGTTGAGAAGACATTACTCAACAGGGATACGATAGATCGGCAAATCTTTGTTTTTATATTGATGTTGTCAAAGGTCACATTTACATGGACTAACCTACAGTAACAAAGGCTAGGAAGTAAGGCAAGTGCTTAGCATAACATTTCAGAAGCATTGAAACAAAGTGCAAAAAAACACACCTGAAATGGAAAGTCATTAAAGGTGGGGTAGGTAATTTTGGAGAAACCGGCTCGAGTGCGCAAGAATTTGAAAATACACAGCCGGAAAAAATCTGCCACTTCCTTACAGAGCCCCTCCTCCAACACACACGAACGTGCACATGACCAATGAGGGCACGAGATAAGTTTTGTGCACAGATGGAAGGCTGACAGGCAGGTAGGCCATCCAGTTATTTTAGCCGGGCCGGCTAAAATGATTGGTCGTGCTTTTTACAGCGCTACGGCTTCCACAGATGACATTTTTTTATGGATTTTTTGTCAAAGCACTTAAAATATTCATTGCTATCGGGATGTTAAGAGCATTCCATGGAATATAACAAAAAGTGTATCTCGAGCCGGTTTCTCAAACTTACCTACCCTACCTTTAAAGAGCAAAGAGAATAGAAAATTAAACGATATAAGGGATAAGCATAGGTGGACATTAGAAAATGGACATTTGTAGTTGTTGTCATAATTTAAGTTTAAAATACTTGAAGCATAACTGTAAGTTGTATTCCATGAGGTACCATAACTAGCATACAAAGTACAAACATATCATAATTACAAGATATATACCAGAATATAATTGAACAAAATAAAACAAATGTAGATAAGAGTAAAAAGGCCAAATATATGCATTATGATACATTAAAAAAATCAAAGCAGGGGAATAAAGTGTAAGGTCTTTATTTAGCAGCTCAAATGGTATGGTACTTAAATTATTACTTCCTTACAATAGCTGCTTACAATATTAAAGCTTCTCACATGTGAGGATGTTCTGGTACTTTTATGTTTATCTAAGTGTGACCTGACATTGTTGATGTCTCCGTCCAGGTTCTATGGAGCGATGTTAGTCCTGGCGTGCCTGCTGTACGTGGCTCCTCTGGGCTGGGTGTTCGCTGGGCTGAACAGCGCCACCTTCCTGTGGAACAGAGACTTCTGCAGAGGTCAGTTCATCCCCGATGGATCGAGCAACGCTGAACACATGATTTAAGAGATTACAGCTAAAGTGTTTTTTATCCCGCAGTTTTGTTGGACCTCAGGAAGCTGCTCCACATGGGCCAGGCCTCAGAGGGGAAGTGTGAAGAACAGGAGCACGGTCACTTGTTGGACCAGACCCCCACACCAACTAGCCTGGAGGTGAGAGCGCTGGAGAAATGTGTGGGTTGAATACTGAAGGATTTAGTGGTTGTGATTCATATTAAAACCAACCATGAATTTAAGCCTCTTATGCAGTTCATCCCATGCTCTCAATGTATTTATCTCGTACGAGTAATGTAAATCCTTTAGTTATAGCACGACCACTGTCCAAGGTGCTGATCCCGGGAACAGCCCAGTATTTATATATTTATTTATGCTAAGTGTGTTTGTGTTTGTGTGATGACAGGACCTGTCTCCTGGCAGTGTGGAGGAAGCGGAGGAGGCAGAGCCTGATGATGAGTTTAAGGATGCCATTGAGGTAAATGCTACTCTCAACAACATTGTCTCTCGCATTTGATCATGTCACAGTTTGGTATATCCCTTAGATCAGTTTGCTTTATAAATGACATTCACTGAATTTTTTCTTGCTAATTGTAATTCTTCATTATCAGTTGTGATGGCGAAATATAAAAAAAAAACGGATGTATCTGGTATATCTTATGCATTGGCGAGAACAAAAGAAGATGCTCAAAAGCCACACATGGATAAAAAAAGAATCATTACAGCAAATAAAATGAAAATGGCATGAAACAGGTAGACTTAAATCAAGGTGCAGAGAAACCAGGCAATCAGGATGCACACGGAGTGCCGCGGCAAATCTTTTTTTCAATAGTAGAGGATTCATTTTAAATGTTGCTTCACGAAATTCATATCTTAATATTGTTAATAACTGGGGTTGAACATGTTCTATAGCCCCAGTATGGTAAACATTGCTGGTAAATTAAGGTAAAAAAAAAGCTATGAATTTAATATTTGAATCAGAATTGTTGGCGCTTCCCATGATTGTGTACAAAATCCTCCTCTTCTGACGTGTGTCCTGTTACTTCCCGTTTCTTTCTGCTGTCCTCTGAACTCAGGAACATTCAGTTCACCTGCAGGTGAGTGTCTAGTGTCACCCCCCCCTCTCTCTAGTAGAGGTTAATGCACGGTTTTCAGTAAAGTCGCACTAAAGAACTACCTGACACATGAATGACTTCATGTGTGGTTGTGTGAGGGGACCTTGTGTTGTGTTTCTTGCTGTTGAAGCATGGTTTTGGGTATGGTTAATACCAGTGTCTGTGGGTAACATTGTTCTCATGTGTTGTTCTGCTTCCTTATAAGGAAACCCCTCTGGTCTTAGTGGTAAGTGGATTTCCCAGTGTCTCCCATCCATCAATCCATCTGTTAATGTGTTTGTCCCCGAGGCATGAGTTATAATAGTGATAGTAGCATTATCATTAACAGGCCTATAATTGATGTCTCCAATAATCCCATCATACCGGGTTCTCATTAGTATCTACTATCTAGTCATTCATGGTTGGAATTTTACGAGACATATTATATTAGTGAAATCAGCTTTTCATTCCTCATTCCATTCCAGTTAAATTGACAAATGTAGTGTTGCAGTGTTAAAGAGGTATTTTGTGTTTTCCATTTGTCTAATTCCATAACATAGTGACATCATTATGTAACACTTGTGCTTCTGTTGGCTATTGCTCCAACACATTGTACATCATTTGCTAAGGGGCGGGACATCTATATGCAGTTGACCAATCACAACAGAGTCAGCAGCTAACCAATCAGAGCAGACTGGGCTCTGGTTTCAGACAGAGGGTGAGAAGGCAGTATGAGAAAGACAATGACCTTTTTGAGCTTTAAATCAGGGAAACATGTCACAGTAGAGACACTCAATACTAATATGAACCTGAACATTAGCATATCAGTGCCCCTTTAATGTGTTCTTTAATGAAAGCATGTTATGATTAAAGCATTTTATATATAGGCATATTTAATCATGTAAGGCATAGAAAATGTGGCTGTTTATAAAAGCATGTTGTTAGGAGGGATTTAAAATAAGTTAATGTCTGACCTGATGGTATATTAATAAGGTCAGCTTTAAAAGGACATAATGATGCAATTGTGTCTCCCTAGGGTGTCCTTGTGTTAGGCAGATAAGTCAAGTACAGTCGGATAAGCATACATTTAATTTTGTATGTAAATCCAAGTATTTACCAGCTTTTGTGAATCTCAGCAGTGGCACTAGGACTTCCCATCATCTTGCTTTGCCTACATCCATTACTCAAACCGGATGAAATGCACAACATAATCACATTGCATTTTATCCACTTAAACCTTACCGCTGAGTTTGGCTCTGTTTCTTGCCAAGGGTTTCATCCTTCCAAAGACTTAACTTGAGATTACACAGTATGTGACTGCATTTTCTTTGTCCGCCCCCCCCCCCCCCCCCCTCTCCCACAGGAGGATGATGACGGGCCTCTCGGAACTCCAGAGTATGACACCATCTCTGAAAATGGTCTCTTGAGCCGCAACGAGCCAATACGCAGCAAGGTGTCCAAACTGACAGAGAAACTGCGCAAACGTTACCCCACCACCTGCACAGGTCAGTCTGACTCAGGCACTTTTGTATATCCTATTTATACCTATCAGTAATGAAATGGAAGAATCTGTCCGTCTCAAAAGACACATTTTATGTATTTCTCTCTGTCTTTTTCTCCAAAGGCAACTGTTCTAGCTGCAATGCTGTCTTCTCTGTGCTGAAGAAAAGGGTGAGAGTTGTGAAATTATGAAGATATTGTAGGCGTCTCGTCATCATCACATGTATTTAATCTTATTCTTGTCACAATGTCTCCTTGTATTATAGAGGAGCTGCAGTAACTGTGGCAACAGCTTCTGTTCCCGTTGCTGTTCCTTCAAGGTGCTCAGATCTTGCATGGGGGCAACAGGTGAGAAGGGAAAATGTAAACACATTTTTATAATACTAACATACAACAGACTGTTCAAATTGCATGGCAGTTGCATCACGTCACATCCATTGGTCGTGACTTATTATCTTATTCTACCATTGTCTTCTCTTCTGCAGCTCCAGAGGCCCAGAGAGAGACTGTGTTTGTTTGTGCTGCCTGTAATTCCTCTCTCATCAAGTTACAATGAGATGTCTCCCAGTGGCCGGCTGGAGGCCAAGCACTGTTCGACCCCCGAGCCCTCCTCCAATTTACTGAAACCCTAATGCCTTTATTTTCAAGTTAAGGCACTCATATTTGTCAAGGAGCCCTCTTGCCCTCAGCAGTTCCTCCCCTTCTTAGCTGCTTGTGTTGCTTATGGGACATTTTCTGTAATATGTTGTAAAATGTTCACTGTCAATGGCAAACTGGACCTTTATGAATCAATGAGACTTGCTACAGAGCACAATGGCTCCAAAAATCAAAGGACATTTTCCCTTTGCTGAGCAGAGGGAAGTGCAAAGCATGCAGAGCGGAGGCCAGAATTGGGCCAGTGGTGTCGGGTTGATAGGCTGATAATGGTTTTGCTTTGACATGCTTTGCCTCGCCATAGAGTTACTTCCACTCGAATGTTGATATCTTCAGCCCTGTGTAGCAGTTTAACTGTACTGTAATTATGGGGGAGACTTTTCTCTATGAACAAGGCTAAGGCTAGCGGGATGCATGTGTCAGTGTGAGCAAAGTTTGAATGTGGTCTGTTCAGATGAACAAAATAATGGACTGTACGACCAAATGAAGCTCCACATTTGGTTTTGATTCTGTGTGCGGCTAGTTTGCCTGTTTGCTGTCCATCAATGCACTTTGACCTACAGCTGGTACAACACAGTCATGTGGTTTTCTCTTAGTTTGTCCCAGGCTTTGAGTGCAATGTGTATTTTCCTATCAGCTAGAAGAGCTTACAAGACATAAGAGTAATACATATGGCATGCCATAAAATCAAGGCTGGAGGACATGAAGTAAATCATATATCAGAGTATTTTTTACCAAATCACTTAATATCGATATTTAGACGATATTATAGGATTAACCATCAATGCTCTCACAAAATGTTTGAACAATGAGCATTTTGATCAGTAATCATCAGTAATGTTAATGTAATGACTATGTGGGTAAAGGCAAATAACAAAAAAGTAACTAGTTGGTACATTCAGATCATTTCTGCAATGCAACCTTTAAAATGGGAAAAGACAAAGCTCTATATGTATTAATATATTGCCCAGCCCTACATACAATAATGGTAAATATATGATGGTAAACTGATATTGCATGGCCTGCTGGAATGAAGCACATTACTTTGTTGCCAATGACCAGGTTGTGATGTTTTAAGTGGGCCAGCTTGGTCTACTTGTAATGATCAAATTGGAGCTTCATTTTGGTCGTCATTTTCACTGCAATGACATGTCAGATTTTGGGGGTATAGCAGCATCCTTTAAGTCAATAGCTGCTCGAGGATCCATTGACCTTGGGCTTTTCCTCTAACTGGATCAAAGTCGACCCAACTGGATTGAAGTTGAATACACAGACTGAGCAGCCAGCTTAAATCATCGTGAGGCCTCACACTCTTGAAAGCAGGACTTGAAAGAATTGATGTGGAGGCGCTATTACCCAAAAATGTGGATTGTGGTGAAAACTGTTGTTTTAATCATGATGCAGACACAGATGATTGTAAGAGTTTGCTTTTGCTTTTATTGTAATCAGATACAAATTGTTACTATACATTGTTCTACTATATCTAATATATATTTAATTTAAAGCTCCAGAAAGTGCAAGTTATTATTTGACCTAATGATTAAGTCTGTATATATTGCCCCTACTTTATGGATGAGATATGTCATTATTAAAAAATAAACTCTGTGATGATTTCAATAACTTAAAGTAACTGTCATTGTCTTTTTGACTTGGAGATTTCTGGCAGAAGTATTGACTCAAAAAGAAAAAGTGGCTATTATTAAAACCATACAAATCAAATGAATACCTTATTGTACGACCTAAACAGAAGTGTTGACAATCAAATTCTACAAACTTCTTGGAATTGGAATATTTTACTTTGAAGCAGTTTATTTCAGGTTTTGCAGTTTGAAATAAATGTAAATTACATTTGGAAAACCAAACGTATTGTGTATTCAGAGACTGTAAATACAATCTTCAAAGCTGTTAACTTTCACTTAAATATACACAAATAAAAACATTTTTACAAATATCACATACCATTTCTGCCATTAAAGTCCCCCAAATCCAACACTCCGGTCCTTTAATGCAGAGTATTTGCTCCCATACATGTCATGCAATAGTAATACAATTGAATTTAATTCCATCTGTCTACACTATCTTCATGGTCCTGGTATTGTGCATGCAGTCATGGATTATGGGGACACTTGAAAAGATCAGTGGTCTTTATTATTTTGAGTAACTCGAATAACTAGTTCAAATATTGTCTTTTAAACTCATGGTTGGAAAAGCTGAATTAATATGACCTAAACCAGGGGTGGGCAAATAATTGTCCAAAGGGGCCTCATGAGAAACTGGGACTGCGGTGGAGGGCCGAACCAATACACTGAACTCAATTCTGCTCAATATCAATTTCTTTCTTTATATAAAAGCAGCATATTGTAAGGTTTTGAGTAGCTGCTACTGGTCACAGGATATGAAATCAAGCTATCAAAAGGTGGTTCAAGCATAGAAACAAACCCAACATCGTACTACTATTTAAACAACATTAACAAAAAACAATTGAGCAATTTGAATTAAACAAAACATGTTTATACAGTATTTTATGTCTTTAAATAAAGCAGTATATTGTAAGGTTATGATACTTGCCAATTGGTAGAAAATATTAAATTGAGCTAAGGGGGAGCAGGCATAGTAACAAACCCAACATTTCATCATTATTTAAAGTTTAAACAGCATTCACAAAAACAATTTCAAATTAACAAAATTAGTAGTTTTTACAGTATGTAATGTATTTATAAAGAGCAGTATATTGCAAGGTTTTGAGTAGCTGCTACTGGTGAGAGAACATGAAATTGAGTTATAAAAAGGTGGAGTAACACCATTTAAATGTTAAACAACATTCACAAAAACAAGTGTTGACACATGTTTAGGTCCTACTGTACTTTCGTTAGCCCCGCCCCTCTCTCTCCTTCCCCCGCCCTTCCCCCCTGCCCCCCTCCTCCCTCCACTCCTCCAATCTGTCCCCGTGCGTGTCCCACTAAAGCGATTTCCGCGCATGTAGGCAGGGACTCGTCCCCACGGCGGCGGATGGCAACATGGCGACAGAGGTAAGTCTGTCATATTATCTCTCTCACATTACGGTCGAGGTTTGGCTTAACAACCGCTCACCGTTTGAATAACACCTGTGCCGTTACCGTGGTGAACGAGGGCAGTGTAGCCTGAAACTGTGCCACACTGTGCGGCTCACTTAAAGCACTACTGACGGCTGTGTGTGTGTGTGTGTGTGTGTGTGTGTGTGTGTGTGTGTGTGTGTGTGTGTGTCCTACATTAAAATGCCAGTGGCGTCCGAGCCGAGGACTGTTTTCGTTTATGAAGAACGTGTTCTGGCGTTTGTAACACTGCAAGCTATTAGCAGGAAACGTCAAAGTCAGCTGTACTTAATAGACTCAGAAATAGGGCAAAAACAGGGGATCACTTCCCAGGCGATGTTAAGCTGTTTTGGTGTTTTTGTCTTGTTGAGACGCCCTGTTAATCCTGTGACCACACACACACACACACACACACACACACACACACACACACACACACACACACACACACACACACACACACACACACACACACACACCACACACACACACACACACACACACACACACAGTGTTCAGCACCATGGACAGAAGCCGCCCTGACCTTCCTCTATGCTTTTCCAGCCTGCATCTGTGCTCTCAGATTAAAAAATAAATAAATCATGTGCTATACAATTGTTTTAATCCAACATACACTTTAATGTTATCAACATTCCTGGCCCATGCCCAACATATTCCAAGAGTTTGTATGGCCCTTCATCAGTGTGCCTCATCTCTTGTTCCGCCTGTTCGATCTGTTGTGAGCTGTAGTGAAACGTTGTCCTGTCTTCTGCAAGCTCTGCTCCCTGTGTGTCCGATACCGGGCTCTGCTCCAACAGACAACAAGGCAGAAATGAGGGCAGACATTGAGCCGCGGAGTGATCGATCACACCTTGTCTGCCTATCGTCTATCATCCTGCACTTCCAAACCGCCCACTGTTTGTACACATTGCGTGTGCACAGGTCCTCGGGGAGATGGAGCTCTCTTTAGAGACTCATTAAAGACATACTTTTGTTGTTTTGTCTATCTGACTGTTTGGTTTGTTTGTTTATACTCCTGTTCAAACCTTACTGTGTGTGTGTGTGTGTGTGTGTGTGTGTGTGTGTGTGTGTGTGTGTGTGTGTGTGTGTGTGTGTGTGTGTGTGTGTGTGTGTGTGTGTGTGTGTGTGTGTGTGTGTGTGTGTGTGTGTGTGTGTGTGTGTGTGTGTGTGTGTGTGTGTGTGTGTGTGTGTGTGTGTGTGTGTGTGTGTGTGTGTGTGTGTGTGGGGGGGATGTATCCTCCTCAGTTCCACAATCTGCAAGAGTTGAGGCACAGTGCATCTCTGGCGAATAAGGTCTTCATCCAGAGAGACTACAGCGAAGGGACCACCTGCAGGTTTCAGACCAAGTTCCCTTCCGAGCTGGAGAGCAGGGTGAGGGGACCTGTTACTTTGTATTACATGTAAAAAGTGTTCATGGTGGCTTGTAATTGTATCCTAGGCAACCCTTACAATTATAAATGGATTTAAATGTTTATTGGGAACCATCATAGCACTAGATTGAAACCACTGTAATGCTTTATCTATTATTGTATTGCAGTCCTTATTTTGATAAAGCTTCTCATTATTATGTTGTGTGAGCTTATATTACATTGAAAATAGCTGCTTAATTCAAAGCAATAAGTGCTTATTATTGTATTTTAATCAGTAAATCAATCGGGGGCTTTTATTTGTGACATGAAATAAAAACACAATCCTTTAAGCTCTTTAATCATATTTATATCAAGAGATGCTTTACATCAGTAATACAAACCTTTCTACACACATCTTTTAACTTTTAAACCCACACTACTCCACCAATCCCTATACATTCAAATAATAACAAATGCATCAAAAGTATGTATCTTGTGAATACCTACTACCTACTACTTTAGATGAATGTGTAACACAACAGCTGTCCTGTCTGTATCTCCATTTTCAGTCTCAAACAAAGGTGAAATGCCATAAAATGATCCTCCCCAGTTCCTACCCTGCTGCTCATGACTTGGTTTGTGTCTACAGATTGAGCGGAAACTGTTTGAGGACACCGTGAAGACGCTGAATAATTACTACACAGAGGCAGAGAAGATCGGAGGCCAGTCCTACCTGGAGGGATGTCTGGCCTGCTCCACAGCGTACCTCATCTTCCTCTGCATGGAGACACGCTATGAGAAGGTCAGACTGCCAATGTCAAACGTGACGCATCATTATTATCTAGGACGAGGCTTAAAAGGTTATTTCTGTACTTATCCGTAGTCAGTAAAGTAGATTGCACTTCAAACTATCTCTGTGATGCTTTAACTCAATTGTTCATCTTTCTTCTGTCTGCTAGGTGTTGAAGAAGATATCCAAGTACATTCAGGAGCAGAACGAGAAGATCTTTGCCCCCAGAGGACTGCTCATCACAGACCCCATAGAAAGGGGAATGCGTGTCGTATCCTTGCTGAATGTTTATGGGTGAACGTGCAGAAAAGCATTTATGGGTCATTCAATAATTGGAGGACATTAAAGGTGGGGTAGGTAAGTTTGAGAAACCGGCTCGAGATACACTTTTTGTTATATTCCATGGAATGCTCTTAACATCCCGATAGCAATGAATATTTTAAGTGCTTTGACAAAAAATCCATAAAAAAATGTCATCTGTGGAAGCCGTAATACTGTAAAAAGCACGACCAATCATTTTAGCCGGCCCGGCTAAAATAACTGGATGGCCTACCTGCCTGTCAGCCTTCCATCTGTGCACAAACTTATCTCGTGCCCTCATTGGTCATGTGCGCGTTCGTGTGTGTTGGAGGAGGGGCTCTGTAAGGAAGTGGCAGATTTTTTCCGGCTGTGTATTTTCAAATTCTAGCGATCTCGAGCTGGTTTCTCCAGAATTACCTACCCCACCTTTAAGATGTTAAAGCTTTGGAAAAATGAACCCTTTTACTTTAGTTTTCTGTTATGTATTTGAGAAAAACAGGTAGTAAACCATCACAAAAATAGATCCGGCATGTAGATTTAGCTAAATTATATATAAACATTTAATTGTACGAAAAAGATAATAATTGTACTGCAAGAAATATAACTCTGTAACTGTATTTACTCACTAATGAATCCTAGCTGCAGAATGTACATGCAAGTTGGTTTCCAAGAAGGAGGGACGATGAAAATGCCATTTTAGGGGCTGTTTGAGAGCTATTTGATCGTTTCAATAATATTTTAAACCACTTTTTCTGCAACCTTCCTTTATTTCATCTAAGGACAAGTGCATGTTTTAGCATTTTGGGCATGGATAATTTAAATTAATTTAGGTGGGACAGAAGATGTCGACCCTCACACCTTGTGTTTATGAAACCACTCTCCACTGCAGACTCGTGGTCCCTAACTCGCCCACCTCTCAGATAGAGATCTCCATCTATGAAGACCGGGGCTCCAGTGGCTCCAGCTCGGGGAGCAGCTCCGTGTCCGGCAGCACCGCGCGATGACTGGCTACTTCCTGTCCCACCGTGTCCCCCTGATCACTCACAGACCTGGAGGCCCACTAAGGACAATGATGCTCCTCCTCCTGACCCAACACTCACATCCCAAACCTACGCTCACACAAAGCATCCTATAGCTTTCAAGATTTCACATGCTAAAGGTGTTTAAGCTTTTAAATCACGCACTGTAGAAGTTTATTTTGCATGTGCCGACTGTGGTACTGTCAGATGCAATGTCTCAATGCAAAGAAGAACACATTGGCTAAGTATACTTTGTGTGATCGTCCCATGACCTCCCTTCCTTCCTCTTTGAAAGAAGGCAGGACCACAAACATCATACCTCAGCTGCACCACACCGGACCAAACTGGACTGAATCCAACACTAACCCTGCGCACCAGGCACCTGCTTTAAAATAAGTTATCTGTAGCTCCAGCTGAGTTTCCGTACAGGTATTTGAAGGCATCGTAACGTTTCGCCCCCCAAGATTAATTGTACAAAAAAGCCTCCTTCACCTATGATGTAAATCACGCTGTCTGGTAGCAGATGAATGTCAATCAGCCGTCTATGTATTTCATGTTGCAGATCTTCCATGTCTTTCACATGAAGCCTATATTTTCTTTTAGTCACATAAACAGACAAGCGCAGTACTAACCTCTCGGTTTTAATGAGTAAGCCTACATTTGATTATGCAAAGACATACTGTGCATTGAAAGTAGACAAAGAATGGGTCAAAAAGTCTTCCTGAATTTTACTTAGTAGTGTTTTAAAATACACCAGTCCTTCCTTGATTTCCAAATGAACTTCCAAAGATCCAAAGCTGCCAAAAAACTGGCTCTCAAATGTGAATGTGTGTTTTATTTTGTTGACATTTTGTGCAAGAACAAACTTTCGTACTGCTTGTTTGATACGTGGCAATGAGGTGTGTATGACTGCGTCAAATAAAAACTGTTTCATCACAGCTGCCAGTCTTTCTTTATTATTTCATTGTACATCTACAAAATAGTCCTTTTACTATGGCACATGTTGAGTGGTCACAGTAGGAATGTAGCAGTAATGCTAAATGCAATGTAATGTAGTAGTAATGCAAATGTGTCGGGTGGTCGGACACAGAAACATCACAACTGTTACAACTGGTAATGTTTATTGTTTGACAATATATCAATGTTTTGTTAACCAAAATAATTGTAGTTTTCTTGCATGATTGTGAGAGTTATAAATAAATGATGCATAGCTAAAACCATAGTATAGAATACACTTCGGAATCACATACAAAAGTATTTTGCAAGGCTGAGACTGGATTTGCAGAAGTTATTACAGAAAATGTGTTCAGTAAAGTACACCTTTGTTCAATAATGCTTTGTCACATTTAAAGGCTGCTCAGGATTTAATTCAAGTACTGATTTAATGTGAAATACAGACTATAGTGCTTCTTCAGCTATGAAAAGTTAACATTTGTGCTGTAGAAATGGTCTGAAGAACATATTAGTGATCATGCTTCCAACATGCTGCATGCACTAAATACAGATTAGAGAGGCCCGAGAAGATTAGAAGCTGTTTTGAAGGCTCAAATCCCAAAGTTCCCTCCAGAGTGAGTCTCTCTCACACACACCCCCTCGGCCTGAAATGCCTCCATTGGACTTCTTTGTTTACTTAACATCGTGACATCACTACGTAACACGCTTCTATTGGCTAGCGCTCCAACACAATGTACGTGATAGTCTAAGGGGCAGGACAATCTATGAGCGGTTGACCAATCACAACAGAGCCGGCCAGCTAACCAATCAGAGCAGACTGGGCTCTGGTTTCAGACAGAGGGTGAAAAGAGGGGCTGCAGCACAGGCAGTATGAGAAAAATAAAGAACTTTTTGAACATTAAAGCATGGAAACATGTCACAGTAGAGGCACAAAATACAAATATGAACCTGAAAAAGAGCATAATATGTCCTCTTTAAACCCTTGCTAATTGTATTTACTAAGTTTTGTTCAGGAACATTCATTCATGTTTGCTAGATATGCTACACTGCACTACTTTCAGCTGAGTAAGGGGCACAATACTGACCTCAGTTGTAATTCTTCACTTACAGCATTTAAAGACTTCTGCAGCACACCAGAGCAAACAGGAAATGCCCAAACTGCTGGGTATCCAGATTCTAGGATATGCATACTGATAAAACAGACCCACTGTTAGTGCATGTCTCAGGAAGTCGTTTAGGAAATGCTTAGTACAGACTAGAGTGTCGTACTGTATCATCATTACCCTGAAGACTACCATCCTCTGAGGTCTGACAGAGCAGAGAGCACCATGACACACTGTAGGAAAACTGTCTCAAAACAGGAGGCTTCAAACATGGAGACAGAGGTAGATCGGAAGCCATCGTAAAATGGAGCCAACGCTGCATGGGTGGAGGGACAGAACAGGGGATGAGAAAAAGAAAATGGTAGAGGAAAACAAACAAAGGCAGACATCAGAATAAGAAAACACTGACAAGACAAAGGTTGAAACATGAAGGAGATGGCAAGATGTGAAACAGGCAGAGGAGAGGTGCAACCGGAGAATAATGGAATATCTTTCCTTCAAAAAGCTTAACTTTTGTTGTTAGTTCTTGTTAGTCTTTGTCATCCACAGAGTTCATGTCTTGTTCATATTTGTTCATCTTCAGATGGCAGCTGGTGTTAGTTAGGGCTGCTCGATTATGGCAAAAATCATAATCTCGGTTATTTGGGTCAATAATTGATATCACGATTATTAAAAGCGATTATCCATTTACTCTGAAAACATCCATTTATTGAAAAAAGAAATGTGAACAGTATGTTTTTAACAGTTGATTAACCTGAACTTTTAGTATAATTCAACTGAAAAACCAATAAAAATAAATAAAAATAAATCGTTTTATTTCGATTACGTTGTTTTCGCAATCGTTGCAAGCCAAAATCGTAATTACGATTAAAATACGATTAATTGAGCAGCCCTAGTGTTAGTGAAATGTAAAAAAAAAAAATGCAGGAACCGCTAGTGTTTCCTGATGCTGTCAGTGAAAGTGTTTTTTGTATCTACAGTATGAAATGATCATCTTTGTGTGTTTGACATGTTTATGCTGTTTGAGTGAGGATGCAATGTGTGATGTGCAATATGTGATGATTTTTGGGAAATAATTAACATTAAAATGCATCATGTTGTGTATTTAAATAGCCCATTTATTAAATGTAGGGTATTCTAACCCTTACTCACTCAAAAAAGAAATGATAATCTGACCATATTGATTTGAAGTCATTTATTTAGGGAGTTTGCCAATGCGCATTAAAAATAACAAGCATAACCATGCAGTAGCTGTAACAATTCAAGAGAAAAATAAGAAAGTCTTAAAACTACTCATAAAGTAAAAGGAAATCACAAGGCCCAGGGATTTTTAGAGACTGTCCTCACACACCTGTAAAAACATAAACATGAAATTAAAAAAAAAGCAAATTTAAGCCACTATATTTAAAAAGGACTGATTTAAAGTATTTCTTTCTTACCTGCACAGCGGCCATTCTGGACAGAAAAGCCTTTCCCACACTGAACAAGAGAAGAAAGACATTCATTGGTTTTCAAAAAATATATGTTTATTCATTAATTTAGCAGACAAAGGGCGTACAATTATTTTAGAACATAGGAGGCTTTGTGTTGTCTGCTGTAGTTTGTGGTGAACATTTTTTTTAAGCGCCTACCACAGAGTGCCTAGGATATTACCGGTGTTCCTCATAATTCATGCCGTGGGCCCGTTGTGCGTACCTGCGTGTCATTGGCAAGCAGAGACGATTCCCCTTCTTTGGGAAAAGCTACTTCCACCACTGAGTTCATTTCTCCAGGCTGAAGGGTTCGAGAGATGGAGCTGCCGTCAGGCCAGGAGACTTCCAGTACTGTCACCTCATCAGTTCCTGGGATTCATGGGTCAAAAGTAAAACACTGAGCATCACTCAAGAGAAAAATGTATGTCTGTGTGTAAGTACAACATGGGATTACATCTTGAAGGAATAGCTTATAAATATTTGCTGAGAGTTAGATGAAAAGATCGACCACTGAAGCTGGAGCCAGGAGGTCATTAGCTTAGCTTAGCATAAAGAGTTTAAGCAGAGCGAACAGCTGGCTGAATTAATCCATAGTTAACACAGACTCTTATCATCTTGAGGTTGTGAGGTAACAAGAATATAAGTTATACGGCAATAAATAATGTGTTGATTTTGAAATTATTGTCCCTATAAAACCAAAAATGGTTGTTTCTGTTTCTTGCCAGATTTAACAAACAAAATACATGTACATGAATGGCTTGAGGGGTTCACATAGGTGCATGTTTAACCTTGGACATCGCCAGGCCAGGACTGCACTGGGTACAGAGTAACTAGCGAACAAATTGTGTAACAGGTTGAAAAATATTTTTGATATAAACTCACAGGCACGGCTAAACATCTAAATCCGCAAATATTATCAAGTATTAACACCTGCCATGATGATTGTTTTATAATGAAACCTGAGAATGTGCTTGCTATCCTGGCATCAAGAGACTTTTTGTGAGTTAGATCACTGAATCAAGAATAGGAACTCAACTTAAACCAGGATAAAAATAAATAACTTCAAATTCATTAGCTGTGTAGTCTGGGGGTTTAAACACAGCTTGAGGCCAACTCGATTAGCAGGGGTCGGGTCTGGGTTTGGAGATAATTACAAGTCATAGCTCGGTACCAGTTCTGTGCAGGTGAGGGTTTGAAAAACTGAACCCATGCAGGATAAGATGACTTTAAATTAAGTTATATATATATATATATATATATATGTATATGTGTGTAATTGGTATACAAGATATATTTGAAAGTCACGTTGTCTCCAGAGTCTGTGAGTTATAAAGTGCTAAAGGAGGTTACCTAATCCAAAGTGTGCGACAGGCTCCATCTCACACAGGTACCCTGATCCTCCGTCAATGATGCGTGTGTGAGCTCCACTCTGACGGGTGAAGGCTGTCACCTTGGCTCCCCGCGCAAAAGAGCCAAACTGCGTGCGAGGGATGACTCGCAGCCAGTTGTTGGACGAGCCCTGATTAAGTGGGACAGTTCAGGTTGAGGATCATTCAGGCTCAGCAACTATTACCAAACACACACTCACACAGATACACACCTGCGTGACCTTGAAGACAGAGATTGGTTGCTGGACACTCTCTCCATGTGCCAGCAGCAGGTCCAGCTGTCCATCCCCATCCAAGTCTGTGACGGTGCCACCTGGCCAAAACAAACAGAGCCTTTACTGCGCTGACCTACATAACAACCTCACTGTGACGTTTAACCGACAGCTGTGTCTCTGTAAATCTCCTCCAAACAGAGAGGTAGCAGAGGTGCATTCACTTCAGGTTATGACATTCTGAGAATAAAACAAAATGAAAATATGTTGTCCAATGTCCTCTGGTCTGAGGTGTAGCTGACCTGTTCCCCGGCCCTGTGGCTCTGCAGCATCTCCCACATTAAGCTCCGAGATCAAAGGGTCTGCATCGGCTCTCCTTGACACCCTGCATAGAAACACAACATTTATTTAAGAGTTTTAAATAGTGTATGCTTCTTTATTGGGCTTGGGGTTAATACTGAATAGTCACCTGAACAGCCTGTTAGGGGCGTTGCCTCTATAAGCAATATTGTTGAAAAACACCTCCAGCTCCTTGTCATTGTCAAAGTCAGCAGCGATGACTGTGCGAATAGGCGAGGGAGCTGCAAATCCTCCAGAGGCTATGTTCTGCACAAGCAAATACTTTAAAGTCTTGCTTTATCAATTTTATTTTAACTTTTCCTTTCTGCCCTTTCTCTCCTTCCTTACCCTGAATTTAGAGTCGCTGCCCTGCAGGTAAAGTCTGTGGGGGCCGTTCCAGTTGCCATACACGATGTCCGTCTTTCCATCTCCATTGAAGTCAGCGAGTGCTACTCCTCTGCCATGCTGGCTCCGGTCCTCCACACCTTCAGAGGTTGACAAAAGGTTGAAAGCTTTATTGCTGGGAAACTTCTGCCCCAGGCCCAACTAATAGCCCCAATGTGTGGGGTTTGGAAATTGCCAACATTGGCGACTCCTAGTGTTAGTTTTAAAGAAGACACCCTGGAAGACATCATTGCATTTTGGTACATTATGTGACATAACCTTATTTAAGTATCAAATACCTGGATGGTCTCACAGTGTTTAAAGGTAGAGTAGGTAAGTTTGAGAAACCGGCTCGAGATACACTTGTTATATTCCATGGAATGCTCTTAACATCCGATAGCAATGAATATCTTAAGTGCTTTGACTAAAAATCCATACAAAATGTCATCTGTGGAAGCTGTAATACTGTAAAAAGTACGACCAATCATTTTAGCCGGCCCGGCTAAAATAACTGGATGGCCTACCTGCCTGTCAGCCTTCCATCGGGGCACAAACTTATCTCGTGCCCTCATTGGTCATGTGCGCATTCGTGTGTGTTGGAGGAGGGGCTCTGTAAAGAAGTGGCAGATTTTCTCCGGTTGTGTATTTTCAAATTCTAGCGATCTCGAGCCGGTTTCTCAAACTTACCTACCCTACCTTTAAACAATAAACAGACATGTGTGTTGCTCTGCGTGGCTGTAGTAAGGTATAGCATTGCATTGGGCTAAACACTCACACATTGCTATGTTTACCATGGTTACTGTCTTATTTAGTTAATAAAATATGCTAATTAGAAAAACAGCAAAAAAGCTGAGGCTGATGGGAAGCGCATCAGTTTTTCAAATATTGTGTAATATTTATATAATAATGAACAGATACTCTTTTTATGGCAATCCATTAAAAAGTGTTATCAAGCCAAGAGAGACTTACACTTCAATACCTACAGAAACGCTATTCCTGACTATACCCCTTACTGTTTGATACTCACCAGCCTGTGTGGCCATATTCACAAAAGTCCCGTCTCCATTATTCTTAAACAGGAAGTTAGGTCCATTCTCGTTGTCACAGAACACGTCCGACTTCGACTGGCTCAGGATTGGTCCGACCACCACACCACGGCCACCTGCGTAACGATCAAAAAATGTATGTTTCAGCTGATTCAGGACACAAAACATCCCAGACTTCACCTCTCTAACCTGACTCCTGACCTGTGAGCTTGTTGACCCCGGCCTCTGCAGCCACATCAGACAGAGCGATGATGCCCTTGGAGACATCACTAGCAGCCTCGTCCATTTCTAAGAGAGAGTGGGGACCGACGCTGCCACTGGCATAGTTGGCCACATAGATTGAGTAACGGCCGGTTCCCTGCAGAGAAAAAATATGAGGTATTACGGAAGAATTTGAGAATAATTGAGACAAAAGGTGGAATAAAAGATTGAGGGACTTGTTAATGCCATTTACTAACCTTTCTGTCTACACATGCAACCGAACGTCCTGCCATGTGATTAGCGACACCACGGAGCACATTGAGCTCGTCCCCAAGAAGATCTTCAAAGCGACCATTCCGAAATTTGAACAGTTTATCTGAATAAGTTGCCCGTCCTGCATAAAAAAAAAAAGTCAGTTATCGCGGGGACGGAGTCTTTCAGATACTGGTAATCACCTTCTGGATACATGATGAAGACATAACATAAGAATGTGCTATTCACCAGAGTAGGCATTGTTTGTGTTGAGGAAGTAGATCTCCTCACGCCCATCTCCATCCACATCACAGGCTGTAACTCCGATAGCATTTCCTGCTCGGTCCCTCAGGGCGTAGTATGGAGAGCTGCTGTCATCAATAGCAATGTTTACCAGCCTGTTTAGAGTGCGATCGTACTTCAGCACCAGGTTGGGCCCATCGTACCTGAGGGAAAACATCACACAAAATAGTTTTGTACATATAAGAATGTCTATGCCATTTGGAATCGGCCCTCCACAAATTCAAAGTGTAATGGAATATGTCCCACAAATGAAACTTGTGCTCGTCTTATATTGTACTTCTTAAAAATATATGTAAACAAATATTGCACAGTAGTATTCATGTGTTAATAAGTCCACTTTTCAAATAAATTCAGTCAGTTAAAGTTGGGAACATTTTCTAACAAATCTAAGTTGATAAGAAAAAGCCCAATGACTTATTTGCATAACAAGCTTGAAATATACCCTTCCTGTTTCCCCTTATTATAAGCAATCTGAGGCTTCTGTTTTAAGGGTTGAGCCGAACACTTTTTGTAACAAAATAAATGGGGAGCTGAGATGTAGGCTGTTTTTTTTTCATAAGGCATTTTTAAGTATCAAGCATAATTTACCTACATTTGATTGATTTTGCTCATTTATATCTGAACTTATGAGGTAATATACCTCTAGTGAGTGGCCCAGCCCTTCGTATATTTTTCTGTATGTGGCCCTTGGTCTATGCAGTGTAAGGAACATAGGAAACAGCTAACCCTTTTCACACTCACCCTGCAACGACCACCTCCAGGTCGCCATCCCCATCCACGTCTGTAACAGCCATACCATAGTTGAGTTGTGTGGGATTGTGCAGACTGTCAGGAGGAAGCATGGTCTGTGTTACAACCTGCAGCATGGGCTCAGAGCTCTGGGCGTGGCACTGATGCCAGACTCCAGCCAGGAGGAGCAACAAACCTGAACGCCACATCACTGCAACGGGAACACAGAGTTACTGTACTTTTACATGTATGATGATGCATGCAGACGATGAACAAGTCTTATGTTTAAAGCAGGACAGCCTCAATGATGATGAGCTAATATCATATTTAGAAACACTGTGCATGAGTTAGGGCTAAACAATTTATAATAAATAGATCTAATTGCAAATATTTTGTCTGATATTCCAGTTTTAACTTGAAAGCCTTTATATAAGATGATTGTAGTATGAGATGTTTCTCTGCAAATCCACCATACATTTAAACGTGAATCATCTCTACAGTATACACTTGCATGCTCTTCGTAAGATCAACATTTTTGTCACAGGGTTAGAGAATCTGCACACAGGTATATTAACCCTCTGTCCTTATGGACATGTTTGTGTTATTCATACTTGATTGTTGTTAAAATGAAGCACAGCCCTGCAGGATGCTGAGCAGAGACTTTTGTCTACGCAAAGGCCGTCTTACCTGCACCGTCAGGGTGAAGAGAGGGAGATTATCAGACTCCGCAGCAGCGATGTGAGGGCACTGGGCCGTGATTGTTATATAATTTGTTATTAAATGTTCAATTCCCACACAACGTCTGCTTATAACATGTACCAGCTTGTGTAATGCAAAGACGATTGGCCAATCAGCGAAGACTTCTGGGCCTTATTAGAAAGTTGACCAATAGCTGATCTGGGTTTCTGTGAGCATGTATGTGGAAGGCGGAAGTCGTGTGTTTGCAGGCGCTGTTAAATCAAAACATTACTTTACGGTACTGAAATAATAATTTCAACCGACAGCACATTAACATTGTCTTTCTGTGGAGAAATCTTGATTATAAAAACAATGCATGTTGTGATTTAAAAAACAAATACGATAGTAAAAAGGCGTGCTCTTCTTTCAGAGTGTTTTAGCTGCAGAGGCAGAGAAATTACACTATATCCCAAAATCCTTTGCGCTGTCCTACGCCTGCGTCACCTGTGCGACGAAAATCTGAAGCTAAACAAACCAAACCCGGGTAAGACAAATGAGCAACCGTTATTTTAACAATTCTGCCAGGAATGTATTTATTAAAAATAAATATACACAATCCTATTTGAATGTATGCTGATACTAACTGAATGGTTGTGCCCTCAATGAGCACATCTTTCTACCTCAGCGAGTGGAAGATTAGTTAGCTAAAGCGGTAAGCTAATAGCTAATAGCATTGTCATGGTTTATATGCGTTTAGCAAGATTTTAGACTATTTTCTGGGGGGAGTTAACTAGTTCACGTAGGTTGGTTAAAATAACATTCATATTGTTAATAAACTCATTCAAGACTAGTTTAGAAATGTTAACGGTTAAAGCAGACCCATTTTCACTGCATTGTCTCTTCCTCTGTTTCCTTTGATCATCCAGGTGTTTTTAACGTAATTCAATAATGGAGTTGGAACAAGCGAAAGAAGACTCTACTGCAGCCCAGCCGACACCCGCACCGCCCGCCCCGTCTAAGAAGACAGGACAAGCTCAGAACGTCCCCAAGCAACGACTCCCTGGAGCCAAAGATAAGGCACAGCCTCAGGGAGAAGTAAAACCAAGACCCAGGCCCCGCTACACAGACAAGGCAAGGAAAAACGCCAAGAATAAGAAGGACAAGGCTGGAGCAGATAAGGGAGCTGCTGCTGGGGGAGAAGGTGAGGCCCAGAATGGAGATCCTGAGGTAAAGGCAGAGGAGGATACAGAGGTTAATGGGCAGCTTGACCCAACCAATGTGGAGGCCGAACTTACCTCACGGCTGGAAGCAGCTGCCATTGAAGAGGAAGAGGAAGAGGAAGAAGAAGGGGAAGAGGAGAGTTGGGACACCTTGTTCAATGATGAAGGAGATTGCCTGGATCAGCATCTTTCAGAAGAGGTGAGAGCTTGGGCTTGGTGATTCAAATATGAAAAAGTAAAAATAACCAGAAGAACCTTCCCTAAAATTCAGAAACACACATTTTCCAGTTTATTCAGCTCAAATGCGTGCATTACGTTTTACAATACACTTATCCCCTTGTTGTTTCCCTCTTCTCCCTCCTGTTCTCATCTCACTTTTCTCACTTCTCCAGCTGGCTGTGAAGCAAGGTAGAAAGAAGAAGTCCGTCCAGGAGGCCAGGTTTGATTACTACAACACGGACAAAGATGCCGAAGATGACATCGACCTCACTGACGACGAACTTGCTAACATTGTAGAGATCTACGAGTTCCCTGCTGAGTTTAGGACCGAGGACCTTCTCAAGTTATTTCAGGACTACTCGTATGTATAATTCTTATACCTATTACTGAGAAAGTTGAGAGCCTACATGTTCCAGGATGCATTGCATTGAAGGTACTAATGCAGAGCCAAAACATATTGTAGCCAAGCAACACCTATTGTATGCAGGTAATAACAAAAATAAATCATGAAAACATGGTAATCTGGTCCAGAGAGAACCGAAACTACAACCTTTTGAAATTCATGCATAGTAACAAAACATGAGCCCTCGGTCTGCAACAGCATCCAATAAAAACCAGCACACGGCAGCTTCTGTAGTGTGTGATCATTACTTTCCAGCTACAGAGTCGGCCTCTCTCCGCTGCAAATAGCCAATATTCCACCTTGCATAAAACTACGTCACTATCAAAGGACAATGCAGGAATAGGAATAACATCAGACAGTAATACACACTAAAGAACGTATTGCTTTCATCAACTACATTCACCTTTTAAACACTAATTAGACATCCACATAAAACGTGTCGATGTTCTATTTAAAGATTCACATTGGAAGCCTGACTGAACCACTAAATGGACTCTCATTGAATGTGGCTTCCCTGGCATATTTGGTTTGAATCTTCCTGTGGTTTTTGTAACAGTCTATGTTGTCTGACCTTTTCTTACTATGTTTTTCAGACAAAGAGGTTTTGACATCCAGTGGATTGATGAATCAAGTGCTCTTGGCCTCTTCTCGAGCCCCATAGCAGGTAAGTGAAGCACGGCGTCACATGTAAGAGACATTTGGGAGGGGAGTACCTCAAATAAAAAAATCCTCTGCAGTAAATATGATTGTTGTGAGGCTTTACCCAATAGGAGAACATATGTTGAGTATCAGTGGACCCTTATGGAACGACTCAACATTATTTAAATTAATAATAAGTATGGGATAACTGCTGAGTGAATACATTGTATTGTGGGCTCTATTAGGTTTACACAGTTAACTGATAAATGTGCTTTTTAAAAATGGTGTTTAATTTTTTTCTTCTCAATTTTCAGCTCGGGAAGCTTTAAGAACCAAACATCCACTGATGAAGCTGCGACCTCTCTCCAAATGCTCCCCCGCCACTAAAGCCAAAGCTCGTAGCTGCTCAGGTACAAAAAGCGTCTCCAGTTCAGCTCAGATCATCCTCTGTAGCTCACATATTTAGATGCACGACCTCATCATTCTTTTTTCATCCCATCCTCAGACTACCTCTTGCCTGCTAAAGAGAGACCTCAGACAAGTGCCGCACTGGCGCGAAGGATGGTGATCGGTGCCCTCGGTGTGAAGAGCAACCTGACGGAGGAGAAGCGTGAGGCAGAGAAGAAGAAGCTCCAGGAGGCCAAAGGTGCAATATTTACAGCGATAGTTGAGATTGTATTAAAGGGAAGATGTACTGTGGTCAGCAGTGCTTTTAAAGGACTGTTCTCTATAGATGAGAGCAACCCATCCGGTATTTTCACCCTACGTCAGGGCCACGCCCCTTTTTGGGTGAAAACACTTGCCGTCATTTGACTGGCGGTAAATACAGATTCAGAAGTTTTCTCCAATCACATCAAACATTTTAGAAAACATTGCATATTTTCATCTACAAGGAGCCCGATTTACAATGTCAGGTCAGGCAAACAATTACACCATTTCCTTGGAGATCGATGATCGATTTCGATGTATGGTTTAATTTATGTGACAAGGGGATCGTTGTCCTGTCACTCTGCTGGTGGACGAACTTAATCTGATATCGGCTTGTCAGTGTTTTATATTTAAATGCAGCATCTACAGTAGGGCTGCACGATTTTGGGAAAAAATCTAATTGCGATTTTTCTGAAAGATATTGCGATTGCGATTCGATTTGCGATATTTGTTTTTAAGCGACCCAACGGAAGTTTATTGTAAAATGCTGCCATATCTCCGGCTAGGAAGGTCGTATCAACATGCTCCCGTCTCTAGCACCCCCGCAGCCCGAGCTACGAGTGAAAGAACTAAACTTACATGAAACTTCCGTTGGGTTGCTTTAAAGTCAAGCTTCAGTTTAAGATTCGCCCTGTAATAGATGTAAAACATGTGATGGAGCATTACTAACCTGACTCAGGTGGTTTGTTTCACCAAACCATCTAGGAAAGCTCCATTGGAAGCCATTTGGAAAGGGCAGGCACTTTCAAAAATACTTGGCAGGTGATTGGATCAATCTGTCTATCACCTTTTATCATGGGCCACTTCTGATTGGTTAACAATGGCTGGTACATGTGGAGCACAGCACTTCTGATTGGTGTGGATGACTGACACACAAGAAGTAAAAAAATAAATAAAAAAAAAGTTAAAAAAATCGCAGGCTTTGCGATTTGATAATCGCATCATTTAAAATCGCGATTTCGATTTAAAATCGATTAATCGTTCAGCCCTAATCTACAGTCACTACTTTGCCTTTGAGCATTACAACTGTTTACTTTGATGCTAGATGTTAACCGCATTAGCATTATAATGTAGTTGTTCTGAAGTGTTTCACATAGCCATACAGGTATTGACCAACCGGGTCCCATTGGTTACGATCTAGTCCTATCTGTGGAGGCCTGAAGACACGGATGTTTTCTTTTACCATATTTTTAACGAAGTAAAAGTAAAGAAAATGTTAACTTTGGATCTGTTTTGTTGTTTGACGTGCACTACATGACACGGCAGCTTTAAGGGATGATGAAACTGTTGATTTTCGCTTGGCGCCGATGCCTTGTTTTCACCGGAAAGTGGGTAACTGTGCCAGGAAGTGAGGTAGCCCTGCTCTCATCTATAGTAGAGTAGATGATCCTCATCCTGTTGGGCTGTTTCTAACGCGAAAAATAGGTTTAATATCTTGAGTATGAAGCACGTTGTCAGTAAGAAAGAACCTTGGTTACCAGTTACTCTATGAAGAGATATAAAGTCCTTACCTAGCTGTCTTAGTCTTTGCATCACAATATTTCCACCACAAGTGGGAGCTATTTTCATACTTTACTTAAGAAAATGGAGATTGATGCCAAGAGAGGTTGCTCTCGGCCCACTGCTGTGCTCATCATAACAATTCTATAATCAGAACAGCAGCCATTTCCCTTCTGAGATGGAACATAAGTATATAGGCCCAGAAAACCACGAATGTCCACTGAAGAGCCAGTCGGGAAGTATAGAAACTAAAAAGAAATCTCCTTTGTTCGTCCCACACTGTGCTCTTTATGTAAGATTACAACAGGCACAGTGAATGTCAGATATGCATCGTGTGCTGAACATTGTGTCCTGGGAAAGGATGCCACGTATGGTCTTATTCACAGATGAATTTGCAGCCGGCTCCTCAGCCTGCCTCACTGCCCTGCATGTGGTGAAGACATTGATACAAATATAGAGCAACAAATAAACAAAGTCTTGTTTAGGTAAGAGCTTCCGCTGATTGATGTGTTGAACTGTGTCTCTGTGATTTATCTTTTCAGAACAAAAGCGCATGGCAGCCAAGCAGAAGGAAGATGCCTGGGAGGGGAAGTGATTGGATGGAAAACTACCGTTTTATTTTTGTTTTGATTCCTTGATACAGCAGAGACTAAAGTCTTCTGTTTCTTCTCCTGCTCTGTTTTCGTCAACTGGCCACTCCTTCCTACCGCCACACTTTCCAGAAATGGATTCCCACCATTTTTTTCCTTCTTTCTGGCTTTAGTCCTTTAAAAAACTGTTACAAAACATCTCTTCATCCTCAATCTGTTTGCCTGCAGTGTTACATCAGCCTTTATGTTCATTCTTTGTTCATGCTGGGACTGTTGCCTCAGTGCCATGGCTGGGGCTAACACAAATAACAATGTTTTTTTTAAATCATATTTCTTGACATTGTATCCAAAGTCTGTAGTGAACCATCAAGTCTAATCCAATTTAATAATGTTTGTTTTAATATAGAATTATGTTAACGTTTTTTTTTTAAAGATGAACCAAGTAAATGAACTTGTAAATGCGAGGGAAACAAATGCAGTTTGAAGGTCCTGTATTAAAGTGACAATAGAAAACATTATTGCTTCAACTCTTCTTTGTGACATATTTTTTTTTTGTTTAAAGCAAAATGTAATGGCCGAAGAATAAGACCACAACAAAATAGCTCACAATATATTTTGCCAGTAAAACAATCAGAGTCCACATTCACGGTGGGAAGTCTACTTGACAAAAGACCCTTGTAGAGGTACGAAGAAGGAGGGTGATTAAAAACATTATTTTTACTAAGCTAGATCGTTAAAAAAACCTGCTAACTTCTTTATATTACTCTGTTTTACTCATTGCACTGAGATCAGGGTTTGTAGTTCTTAGGGGATTCTTCAAAAAAGCCAAGCTGCTAGTGATAGTCATGTTGCTCGCAATCCATAAAACAAGGTGAGTGGTCTTGTTCATATCAAAATCAAATGATAAAAAATATATCATCATAGTCTCTGTTTAATATCTCTATGGCCAATCATGAGGATACTGTAAATCTCTATATTTGAAGATATTGTTGAGAATAGACTGTAAACACTTTTGTTGAAGACCTGTTCGCTTGTCTTATTCATTATTTTTTGAGAAGTGAAAACCCCCCAACAAAGCTGCTACTCTCTTCCAGTTTCATGGCTGTTCTGCTTCCTAAATCTATAAGGCGTACATGTTTGTTTTAATACATTTTCAACAAGCAGAGCTAATGTCATTAAATCTGAAGAACAAATTAAAAGATGATTTGTTGACAGACTGAAGTTAAAAATAAGAAAAGGGTTTTTTGGTTTATTTTTTGATGTGAAAGCTTTCAGTGTTCAGGTTTTCCAGGAGTCTCACCTCATCCATGTTTAATGTGTTTTCAAAGTGCATTTCATCATGGCAACATTCTTAATGCACAAACAATTGTTTTTCAACACGTTTATTATTAGTATTGGGTGTTAATGTGTTAAAATATACTAACATTTTTGTTAAATGTGTTGAAACAAGGTTAGTCACATCCAGTTTTGTTCATGTTGTTGCTCCAGTTGTATAAAAGTATAATTTAGTTACTAAATGTTGCAATATTACGGTTTATAACAACTCCTTCAAATTGCTTTAGATGACAATTAGTTGTCAATCTAAACAATGCATATTACTCGTTGTTTCTGGAAAGCTGAGACATGGACTTTTTACTAGTGAGAGACTATGTTACCTAATTCAGAGTTGGCTTTCATAACTCAGCTTCCTGAAACACACACATCCAGGCTCAGGAGACTTTTGCGACAGCTGGAGGCAGCGCAACGTGACCCAGCGCCTCTTTTACCTCAGCCAATAATTAACTCTCTCTTTTTTTGGAGAACGGGCTGTACATTTGCCATTTGTGTTACTGCAAATTATTTCTACTTTATATCAACTTCAAAATTAAATCTGTTGACTTTAAGTGGATATGTTCACCTGGTAATTCAACACATTGCTAGGTATATTAATAGGACCATTCATGTTGAAAATGAATCCGCCTGCACTCTTACATTGGTATATTTGTATACATCAATGCAGTGTACTGCTGTAAAGAACCCTGTTTGTGTACTGGTTGAGATTGTAAACTGAGGATGACTACGTGCCACGTGGCTCATACAGGGCTAATTAAAGTGGAGCAGTCACCACTACAGGCTCAGATTTGTACATGACATATAAACATGAATGCAAGTTAAATACAACTTTTGCAAATATTTATATTTATATTTTTTTCTTGTTTTTCTCCCTTGTTTCCAATTATGTAGTTGTGGAGCAAAAGCATTAGGAGTGATGGATGTATGTTGCACATCACATAATCATGCATTGTTTGGTTTGATGACAATTACATTTAAAATATATTTTAAGTGTTCTCTGTGATATATTAAATGCTGGTTCTGCTTTTTTTAAGCGCTTAGGTCTCATCTGGTCGCAGTGCACACATAACTTCAAGTGTGGAATAAAACCAAGTGTGGACAAATGTTCATAGCGAGTTTGCCAGAACAGAAGTGGACCTCCCTGTGCTGTGTTGTTCTTGCATCTGAGCTACATATACAGATTGTAGCTGCTCTTTACCATCATCGTGTGAGATCTGAGCCCTGCCTATAATCTCCTGCTTTACTGTGGCTTCACGAGGGGGTGATGTACCGCAGAGTAGCCTGCTGGGTGCCTTGCACACAATCATTAGATTAACTCCTCAAACACAAACCACAACTGAGCAAGTGCCAACACTGCCCTGGAACATGCTGCATGTCATGGATCAAATCAAATGTGAGTCATGGTCCAAATGAAGGAATAATCTGATGTCACACCACAATAGAAGACAATGGTGGCGGTTTTTCCAGCATTAAACACTTACTAAACATATTTTAGATCACTAAGTCTTCTTAGAATTCAGAGCTTTCCTTCTAATGATACACAAATTGATCACAACCTGAGTAATTGTAGTGATAGTATGATTGGCATAATTGCATTCACAACAACAACTCATACAAATAACAGAAGTACTTCTGTCAAGATAATAAATACACATTTTTCCTCTTACATATGGAATCTCAGTTAAACATAGGCTACTGTAGAAAAAGTCTTAAAAGGCTATACTTGGTTTGGTCGGACCAAGCCTTCAGGAAGAACGGCAGTCTTTGAAGCCAGTTTTCAGCAACACCGAGGAAATATGACTTCCTGGTCGGTCAAGGGAGGCCATCGGGCCCAAAAAGCCTTTTCTACATAGACTTAGATTAAAGATATGTCTTAAGATCCGCAGGTATTTTATTTAGGTAAATCTACTCACCCTTTCACAATCGCACACATTTAAATCATTATGTTTTTAACATTTTTGAACTGACTCATAACCAAATTCAGTAAAGATTTTGTTGTGCTCCCTATGTGCCCGTGCTTGAGGTGCTGTTAAGTGAGGTTAAAGTAAATGCTAGAGCGTGGAAGACTCGGGTATTTTTAACACTTGGCTTCATGCGCCACTGAGCAACTTGTATAGGAATGAACAGGGTTTTGCCTATGACACTGCATCCAGTTCTCATATATTTGAATATGACCAGCAGCTTATGATAGCTTATGATAGCTAATGTTAGCTAATATTAGCTAAGTTTGGGTATGTTTTCCGTATAAACACCGTTAATACGGTTTGCTTACTTTGTGAGTGCTCTCCATATGTGCTTCTGTTTAAAAGCAAAGCATGTTAGCTAAATGCAAAAGCATAGCATGTTAGCTAAATGCAAAAGCATAGCATGTGAGACAGTAATTTAGCATTTAGCATTATCCACTGCCACTGAGTGATAGCTATAGTCACCTTAAAGAAAACACTGCTAAGAGCAGCCAGCTCTTCAAATGAACTAAAAATACTATTTTTTAAAACGTTCTTTATGTACTTTGTATAACTTATTTGATTCTATGTCCTTTTACTGATATAAAGTTAACGTTACATCCTACTTCCCATAAAAAGGGAAAAATAGGACCAAAGTGAGTGACATATAAAGTATAGCCTATGTAATGGTACAATGGGCAGAGAGTTTCCACCGTGTTTGTATGTGTTCATCAGTGGGAATGAGGTTGGAAACAGTCATAAAATACGGGTTAGCACAGGCTTCCTGGGAAAAGATGTGAAACACTCATTGTTGAAGGTACAAACGTTTTACTGTAGATGTTTTTTTTCATTTTTTTATGAATGAAGCAAAACAAATCTATGTTCTGTTGGGATCTTTAAACTTGCATAAGGCTCTGAAGCCTGCTGAACTGCTGTTAGGGACAACGTGAGATAATTCTTAAACATTGAGTCAGTAGAATAAGGGAATCTATTTAGCTAATTTCTAAAATGTTCTGCAGAAACTGTAACATTAACTTGTATCTTTGTTCTGCCTTCGTAAACTCTGTAGTCAAATAATCATGCCTCGAATAACCAGTTTGTCAATTTGACGTTTATTCTTTCACTACCATTATCAAGTACTGTACGGTTAAAGGCGCAATACTGTGGAACATCCCATCTGATGTTACCGATGTTAAACAGGTAAAAAACAAACAATTGAACATATTTGTCCTGGTAAAATGACATTTACAAAACACAGCCACACAGGGACAAGTTTCAGCTCAAGTACATTACAATTCTACATAAATTAGAGACCTAAAGAACAATATTCCAAAGAAGTAATATAAAACTGTACATGACAATACATTTGCAATACATTACAATATTTATTCAAATAAGGCGAAATAGCACCATGAAACAAAAAAATGATTAAAAAAAACAAAAACCATACAGTTGTGACAGTAAATACTGCATTAGTAATGTGAACAGTGAAAGCACAGGAAGCATGTACAGAGTTTTGTCGTTACCTGGTTTGATATTATATAAAGGACAGCCTGGCGGTTTACTGTAAAAGTTAAGGACGTGTTGTTCTCATATGGCTTGATGGCATACCTTTCTAAACTGTGGTTATGTTTTGATCAAGGTATTAAACTTGTTACAAAATTCAAAACAAAGTCAAATCAAATTGTAAACTAGTCTATGTTTGTCATGGTGAGATGGTTCTTGTGCCTTCTTTGGTCTTTATCTACTTTTCCTCTTTCTATATGTCTCCTTTAATTTCATTGACCTTCAAACAGGAACAGATCAGTAACAGGATCCTTATTGGCCATTTTTTCATGTAGTCTCTCCCATAATATCCCAGTTTCCCACCATCCACTTATTAACTGGCATGTCATTGTCATTTCACCTACTTCCACTGACATGTTGAAGTGTGGTGAGCACTGTTATTATGTACTTAAATATGCTTGTTCCTTATTCACAGGAAGTTGTTGGAGATCTGACGTTGATGGTCAAACAAGTCCTCCACCTCGGGGCTGTAAGCATCGCCTGATGAAAACACACAGAGGAGAGAAGTTGAGTATAACGCAACAAATATGGAAAGTATTGATGTGTTGACATGGACTGCATCTATGTCTTCTTCACACCGTACCTGCATGGCATCCAAACATGTAAACTCGAGCTCCATCGTACTTGCACCGACAGCGCATCACGTTGTTCTGGAAATCAGACTCAGCCATGTCTAAGGAAGGGTTAACCTCCACCTGTAAAAGAAAATATAGTAGAGATAAACTCCTGCATGACTCAAGTCTGTCTTGACTCACAATACTGTACCTGTACCAAACTACTAAGTATGTTTTTTCATCACAAGAGAGCTTTCAACTGACAACATGCAAATGAACCACGTGCAGAGGCAGTAAAGGCATCACAGAAGTGTAGCATTTCCCTCTATGCTGAGGATACCTTGTTATATACAGTAAGTCTCTTCAAGCATAACACATGCCCCTCAATACTGCAAACAAAAGCATAAACCTTCCATCTCAATTGACCGACAATGATTCCTTCACCCATCAGGGGAAAACAATTAGATGGACCATTAACATTTTTGAGAATTTTTACAATCACGTTTCTAGTATCAACATGTATCTCTGAGTTGAACAATTAAAGTCAAATATTTTACCATGCATTAATTTCCTATCAATGTACTTTTGATATCTATGTTGTAATCCACACCTGGCTATATGTCTCCGAAAATAACAGTTTCTGATTTTTTAGAAAATGTGCTTGTTTGCTCTTTAAGAAGATTATTGACAATCCAATTTCTGTATCTTGAATATTAAGAAATATTAAGAGATTGCTAACTGAGTGTAACAGGAAGACTGGTTGTCTAACCTTCTATCTAACTCTCAACACTGTAAGGGTGGTGTGATGGCCTATTTATGAAGTAAAGGAACAAAGATACACTTTATTTCAGAGTATTTTAGTTTTTTTTTATGTGGCCAACTGCAAAACCACAGGATTATTGTTCTCCTCCTTTTCTATATGGCTCATGATGTATAAATTAGGGGTTCAAGTGATGCATGACATCACTTTCCACTGTTATCTCCCTGCAGAGATGCACATGACAGTTTTGGGTTTGGATGTAAGAAGCAGCCTATCATTAGGCTGTAGCCATGGTTGGTTGCTATGGTTTGTTGTTTTCCACCCTGTCTGCCTGCCTGCCATATATAAGAAAAGCACCCAAATGAACTTTCCTGATGCAAACATCAAACAGATAACATGACACAGATTTAAAAAAGCAACCCTGTCTCATTTCTTTACTTACAGTTAAAATGTTGTGGCTCCAATTATATATTCACAGACAAAGATTTAAGATGTATAGATATTCATGATAATTATTCTTTTTAATTACATTTTCAGCCTTATTCGCCACCAAGGAGTGCATATATTTATTAATATTGCATGTGGAGAGCAGCTAATATTTCAGCATATATTTTGTAGTCCTGATGTAAAATGTACTGGGTGGCAGTTAATGCCATTTTAAAAGCTCTTGTAATAATGTAAAACAAAGGGCCCGCGGCCTGTTTTACAGAACAATGAAAGTCAATGTCATGAAAAACACTGTGAGGTTGTGCAGCTGATTTTTAAATGAAGTAGCAATCAGGAGCAATCTTTCTGAGGTGGACGTGACTCATTGTTTTAAATGTATGGTCCTATAAATGGCAATTCTTGGTAAAGACTCAAAGAAAACACCCAGCTGCATCTCACTTCTTACACAAATTTACTACTGTTGAACCGCGATCCCAACCACAAAGTGCTGCTGGGCCACGTCGTCGTGACAACAGTGGATCTCTGCTTTATGACATGTGTGTGGTTTTTATCTTTCAAGACGGGCTCGTCACATGTGTAGAGTAGAGACAGACCCGTCCTGTATGTAATTTACGCACACGCACATGTTAGTCAACACGTAAACATCTTGATTGTATGCAAACACATAATAAGAAACTGTAAACATCACTTTGCTGCAACCAAGCTGCCGTGAAAAAATAGAACAAATGACAGAGAAACGGGACAGATGAGTAGGTCACCGCAGCAGATTGGATGTCTCTTAAAAACAGACGAGAGATGTAACAAACTCCACTTTCAAACAGAAAAACTCACTCTGTACAAATGTAAAGTGCTGACAGAGCAGTCCCACTGGGAATAGGCCTAATAGCAGGTCTACTTTCTATATAAATCCAGACTAAATTCACTTTCCTTAAATACGCACACACCCTTAAAACTACATACATACTGTATACTGAATGGTACAGCAGCCAAGAGCCATTGATCCCAAATTATAGTCTTTTATCAGAGCTTTTATCTCATGTGCGCCTTCAGATGTTGAAACAACAACTCGGCTTTTTTCTCGCTTTCACGCCCGACTTAAGAGGTTGTGTAAGCTACTGAAATGATGTGATTTCACCATGAAGATTGAAAGGGGGATTCTGTCTTACTCTGCAATTTTATCGGTTAACAATTACCCAACAGAATAAGGTGAATCTTGTGTTTTGAAGATGTTCCTTTATTTGTTAAAAACCAAGCGTTCTTACCTGGAAGATGTATTCACCAGGTCGTATGTCTGTGACGATCGATCCACTGGCAGTCGATATCGTGGCGGTATGTGTCCCAGCAGCCAACTGAGATACCCTGCTGTCCCATGTTATAGCAGGAGTACCGCTTGTGTGTTCCTTGTAGAGAAAAAAAAAGTTAGAAACACATTAGGCGAGTAAAAAAGAGAAGACTAAGTGGTGTAAATCTCCTTTGCTGCCAGTGGCTGTGGATTTTAATTTCTACCACGAGCCTGAAATTAAAACAAAATTATTACAAAACCAGATCTTTTTTGGGCACAATGGATAGAAAGGCTCTTAACTGTGTAAAGCTGTCTGGGCTTTGTGAAGACAATATGATTTTGGGCTTGGCCTCTGATCCTACAGCTTGTTGCTTACTTTGAATGCTTATTATAGGATTTCAGCGTTTCACTTTGATGTATTCTTGATTCTCTTGTTTGTCATGATTCTGGTTTCTTTTGTTTCCAGCTTTTCCATTGGGAAGCAGATTTACAGTAAGTTACATTAACCTGTAATTATGTCTCACCTTCAGGGCAGTATGTGTCCTCCAGACAGAAGCTGGCCTTGTGACCTTCGGCGACCTTGGTCCCGTTGAGCGTCAGCAGGTCATAGTGGGTGAACACCTCAATGCTGTGGTAATGCCTAAGGAATTGGATCAGGGGTGAAATGATTAAAAAGAAATGTGTTAATGTGTTGCTGTTTTGGTTTACACCTATGAGAACAAACCTGTGAGAACAATCCCTGAGTTTCATCTAAAAGTAGAGCAACCATAAATCCTTTCACGTTGTTGTGAAGGCGTCAAACAGATACGAGCAACAATTGTAAACACACGAGTGGGCTTAGGGATATCGGTTGGTGTTGCTCTCATTACAAAACCATTCCCAGAACAGACGGTACCAAAAGTCAAACCATGTGTCTGCTGGTGGTTGAGGTCGTGATTGGGCTGCGGCGGGGGACAGACACAGAGCTGTGCCTCTCGTCTTGAGACAGAACCACAACCGCTGAGATAAGAAGCCAGGCACCTCTGAGCGTAGGAGCTGACCGGGTGAGGAGGATGCTTATTGTAAACATCATATAAGGGGATGAAGGATTGTCTTTTGCTGTGTTTAATAGCATACTTTTACATATGTCTGGTCATATATAGTACAAAATGTCACTGCGCTTGCTGCTGAATCTTACATTTCCATTCATGCAGTCATACATTTTTTACATCTGGTAGCTTCTTTTTTCTTGTGCCACCTTATAAAAGTGTTCAGTCCTGTGCCATGGGGGAGGTTATGTTGCCTTTGATGTCAACCAAACCACTGCAGCAGCTAAAATCCAACATAGTCACATCTGTAAAATGAACTGCTCTTGTTTAAATGAAAACCTTAAAAGCTCCTCTAAATAACACAGCGGCTTGGAACAAATCTGTTAAATGTCAGCTTCATCCTCTACCTGTGACACTGGTGCCATGTCCAGCTCTCTCTGGTGGCCCTTGGGCCTGAAGTCGGCGCGGGCCCATGTTCATGATGCGGGAGGAGAAGCGCAGCAGGCGGCGGTGGTCCGTAGGGCCAGGTCATTCTGGCGGCAGAGGACGACAGGCAGTTCTCCTCATTGGCGCAGGTCAGCAGGTGGATGGGGGGCGGTCCTCCAGGTAGGCCGTCTCCTGGACCAGCTGAGCATCCAGGACCAGGTCGGGAGCAGCTGCAGGGCCGAGGGTCACAGCGTTGAAAGAAAATGTATATATATTTTTGTCTTTTAACTCCTTCTTCTTTGTCAAAAACTGACATCTGCTCTACCAACAATGCGACTCAACGGCTGACTGTCAAAGATACAGCCTTTAAGGAATACTTTCCCCTCAAAATGACCATTTATGTATCAGTAACTCAAAAATTATTACCTTTATTTCTTGAATTAACTTGAATCAAACACAAGTTAAAAAACAGATAAAGGCCTTGATTAATTGAATACACTTTTGACTCATTCTGAAAAGCAGTGCTAGCCTTACAAGTGTGTTAAGTAGAGATGATAATTGGGCTACAAATGTCTGATAAGTTCTCGACACCTTCAGATTTTTGTTTCATTTTAATACTTACATTCTTTAGCCCTAACTTAAGCCGTCTCAAGTGGCGTAATTAGAGGCAATTGATTACAATTCGAACAGCTCCTTCTAGAGCCATTAAAGGCTTTAAACACTTTCTTTTACAGACCAATAGAGTTTTCCTGTAACAACATGGCACAACAAATGCAAATGTTCCTGTGTTTGCTGGTTCTGGACTCACTTTCTACACATGTGACTCCTGCGGCCCTGCCGTCTCCTCCTCTGGGACAGTAGACATTTGTGTTCCTGCGACAATGCTGGATGGACATCTCATTGCCGATGCAGTGACTTCCACTCAGAATCACCTCGCCGGCATCTGCAGAGCCAGGCCAGTACCAGGTCTCCTGCACACACACATAGAAGAGATTCACACATACAATCATTAGATCTTTGCTGGAATAACAACAGGAAGAAAATGGTCAAAGCTGGAAGAAAATAGCAGCCTCTGCTATAAACAAAGAAACCCCATAAGAACTATCAGTGCACATTATCACATTTTACACTCTTTTACACAATTTTAAGACTGCCTGTTAAATGTTCCCGGCAGCCCCCCTCAAAACACACTCATGCTGCCCTTTCCATTCAGTTCTATTTTCAGTCTGTTTGCTCTGTGAATTTCTCCCGGATTTCTCTTGGCCTCACTTTCCCTCTTTTATTTTCAGTGCGCTGGAAGTGGACGTTTGTGAAGCCTGTAATTACCTCAGGCCTCCGTAATAACACAGCACAGCGCAGAGAGAGGAAGAGAGAGGGAGGGAGAATGGAATATAGGAGCACAGAGAACAAACGCTTAGAGGTCAAAAGAGGATGAAGAAAAAAAAACATCAACATGTTTATTCTGTTGTTTACCTGAAGAGCAGTGGCAGCGAAGCCCAGGCCGAGCTGTCGACAGACCATCATGGCCTCGTTGATGCCCCAGTTCTCACTGCAGATGGAGCCCCAGCGCTTCACCCCTCCGACCTCCATCAGCACCTCCACACGGCCCTCAGATGGCTCTCTGCCTCCTGCCAGACGCACTGAAGGTAATGAGTAGAACACGTTTTCTTGTCAGTCTGTAAACACTGCTAACACTGTGGTAAGCAAAGTACTCAAAAGCAGTATTACCACACTAGAAATACACTGTTATAAGTAAAAGTCTGCATTTAATATTTTACTTAAGTATGATATAAAAATATTAGAATAGAAATGTACTTAAAGTACTAATTCTGAGTGATGGCCATTTCAGAATAATATAAATAATTCTTGAATTATAGTTTTAATCGGAAAGAACGTAAACCACACATATTGCTGGGTAGCTTCTGAATTTTAAAAAGGGATCAATACAAATTAAAATAATACACGATACATTATTTGTTGATTATAATTTGGTATAAAGTGGGGGGAAATGGTAATACTCAGGTTGTTTTTGTGTGTTTCTTACCGAGGCTTGCATGCCAGTGTTCGGCACGTTGCAGCGCACCGCTACATCCTGAGTGTGTTTGCAGGTGTAGAGAGGCACCTCTCTGTAGGTACACTCAGTAATGGACTTCTCCCGGCCTGTACACTGCACACTGTTCATGTGGATGGGTCCGGTACCTACAGGAGAAAGGGCGTGGAATTAATTAATTCACATGTGTCTTACCAACCATCGGCCACATGCAAGAAAGACACACACACAACACACACACACAACAACACACACACACACCAAACACACCACACACACACAACACAAACACACACACAACACACACACACACACAACACACACACACACACACACACACACACACACCACACACACAACACACACAAAAAACACACCCACAAAAAAACACACACAACACACACACACACAACAGGGTAAATAAATTACTATAAACCTGATGGCTCTGTACCACATATGTCCACAGAGAGGGATTAAAAGCCCAGACATGATGGGGTCTCTGATGTGGCTCTGAAACTGAGCATAGCCGGAGTTCTCTGTTTAAATTACCGTACAGTCTGCGCTACACATGCACAGCAGGGCCACACTTTACAGACCAAAATAGATACATAAAAGGCAAAATAGAGGAAAATCTTAGATCACATCTAGGTTTGCGTAGGTGTGTGAGGCCCATGCTAAAGCCCTATAATTTGGATAAATAGCTAATGATGTCATCAAGTCTAACTTTAAGTTTTTCTCCTATAAGTGAGCTTCCCATGAGCATTCACGTCACTTCTGCAACACACAGATTCACCCTTATAGTGTTCAGTTCTGCAGGGATGATGTATCTGTGTAAGATCACGGAACACCTATGATTTTTAAAGCGTCATTGCAATCACCAGAAATAAAAAAGCTATATCTTGGTCACATGACTTCGATGACCCATACACTAAGCTTTAGCCAGAAAAGTGTTTTCGAAAGTGATGACGTTTATGTCCCAGAAAGCCTCTTTGGTTTAACAAAGCTGTTACTAGCAGACGCCTTTTTCAAGAGACACTGCAAAGGCTTTAAAAATTAACAACTGAGGTATTAACGGACATATTTTATGATGTAGAACAAATGGTTAAAATCTCTTAAGCTTGTGTAACCACAGGCAAACAAACCCATTCAAAAAAAAAAAAAGGCCAAACAAAGGTGACTAATTTCCGTGTTGTTGGACTCATTCCTGAAGCACTCTAATGGCCTGAGACATAAAATGCTAAAGTGCTCCATTTGGACATTTAACAACGGTCATTATTCAGACACAACTGTACCATAGCACCTACTTTAATAGAGCCCTTAATTTACCTCAAATGAATTTCCATGAATTAGTTCATTAAGTTAAGCAGAGAGAAGGAAATGCACCCACCATTATGGACATGCTATGTGCTCGTTTAGGCAGAAAGATAATGGGAGGAAATGAACGTGATTACAGAGTTACTGCAGAGGTATGGCAAGGAGGAAAAAAAGGCCAATAATTTTGTGTGTGAAAGTGGGGTCTATTTCCTAGGAAAATGTTTGACTTTATTATTGCCTGACAATTTAATTGCTATATTCTCATGCCCACAACAAAAGCAGAGCTAAAGTAATCACAGTATTCCTGAATGTTTGGTCCTGCTCAGTGCTGATTGCCTGACATCCTGGTTTCAAAGCTGCGCTATCTTTTCACATACAGTACAACAAGTTTATTTTGACATCAAAACATGCCATTGTTTTGGTCGCTAGAGCTCATAGCATAGTTTACACTCTTATAATTGGTCATGGGTAGAGTTCCTCAACAATGAGCTTCTGCGACAGAAGTAGAAGTCAGGCTATAAACAATTTCTCTCTGGGTTTATTTGTCTATTCAGCCCCATAGTTCTTGGATAGCTGCGTTTAGCGACAGACATTTAGGCTGATAAGTGTTTAGTCTAAAGGATAACTGAGCTCACTGATCCTGCTCAGAGTGCATGATGAATTCAGGCACTGATTCAAAGTCGGTAACATTCAACAGAAAAGTGGTTATCAGATCTGTAGCTGGGACTCCTTTTGATGACAAATAAATACCCAGTTATGGTTTATCTAAACATAAACGTCTCACACCATGAGTTCACCAGACATGGTGAGTAAATGAATCACCAGAAAGACTTGAAAGTGCACTTTATGGACACTGTGTGTGGCTATGTTTATGTTTCATATCTTACCCTGTCCAAGCTGCGCGCTGTTGAGCGCCTCTTTGGCCGTCCCGAAGCCCAGCTCTCTGCAGACCACGCTGGCTGCAGCGATGTCCCACAGGTGGTCACACACCGTGCCCCACTTGCCCTCCTTGAGCACCTCAACACGGCCTTCCCCAATACGGGGCCCCGCCTTCAGACGCACCATGGGCTGGAAGGAGAAAAAAGTACGTTTAGATGCAAAATATCAAAGTTATTGAAATGATCTGGAAATCTTACACTCAGCTAATGTTTTTCTTAGTGTTTAAAATAAAACTGCTTATTTCTAGATTTCAGCCTGATAATAGTATTTGGTCTACTTATTTGGCACGGCGGTGGTAATGGCCTCTTGATCTGCCAACCTGCTGGATTATGTTTTTCTTTTGTTTCTGGTCTTTATTTCAGTGTGGAAGTATTTCCTGTTTTACTTTGTTATCTCCATTCATTTCAAGTAACTTCCTGCCTTTGTGTGTTTTCCCTCCAGTTTTTCATTGATTGCAACTTTCCAACTCCATTCAGGCCGTTCCTTGTTCTTTTTCTGTTAATGTCTTCGGAATAACCTGACAGCTACCTGCCGGACCTACATCTTAATTTGGATAGTAAGCTTATTTCCTCAATTAATCATTAGACTCTTCCTGCTCAGTTCATCTTTGTTTGTCTCCAATCCTGAAATACCTATAGTTTGATAAACTGCTTAATGAAAAGTAGAAAACGTTTACTTTTAAAGGAGAGTAGTTTTGAGAAATAAACTAAATAACGTACTTGCTGATAGTAATAAAAACATGGAAACCACTGCCATGAGATGGTTAGCATATCTTAACACAAAGACTGGACACCGAAAACAGCTAACTCGGATCCGTCCTTAGTCCTTAGTAAATAACACAGCTAAAAAAACATTTCAGTTGTTTTGTAGTACCTTTTTTGTTTAGTTTTGTTATCTAACTTGTTACATAGTTAGCTTAGCCTTAGAGGTTCTGGTAGGCAGATTTTGAGACCCTGATGAAACACTGGCTAGCTGTTTACTGCTTTTAAGCTAACCAGTTGGTTGCGTTGTTCTTACTTAATTTTTGAAGTAATTATTGAACTTTCACAATGAGTTACTGATTTTCTACGGTTTAAAAAGTAAGATAAGCCATGGTAAATAGTTTGCTTAAGTAAGTACTTTGGACAGAGCCATGCTAATGTTAGCTGACTGCTTTCAGTAATTATGCTAGGCTAAGCTATCTGCCTCCATATTGCAGCTTTACATTTAGTGGAAAGATAGGCAGGTAGTTTTGAAATTGTATTGAATTTACATTTTCAAACTAGTCCATTCATTATTAACACATTTGTTTATTATCTATATATTTTTAACTTCCACCTCCATACTGACCGGCACGGCGGGTGGTGCAGGCGCTCTGCCATAGCGGGTGAACTGGGTTCCTGGGACACAGCGGACTACAGCGTGGATGCCATTGTTGCATGGGACATTATTCCTGGGGAGGGACAGCTGGGCCTTACACTGAGACAGAGAGACCTCCACACCCTGACACTGCACCTTCTCCACCCAGTAGGCCTTCTTACCGATCAGTGTTCTCAGCCTGGGATGGGTAAGAAGAAGAGAAGTTGGTGGAAAGAGACAGGTATATTTGTGATTTGACACATAACTAATGCTAAAACAGGGGTTTTAATCTAATGTGGATTTTACCTGGAGGATGGATCAGCTATCTTGGAGTCCCAGATTTTCCTAAAAAGAGGGAGACAACACACTGGAGTTACAAGTATGCCTCTTTACATCCAGTAGACTAAACAACCAGCTGTCCTATACTAACTGCACACTCCCACAGTCTGCTCCTGTGCCCACTCGCATCCCTCAATCATCGTTTCTTCTCTTTCTTGATGTACCTACTCTTCCCTTCTGTCTATCAACCCTGAAATAAACAAACTGAGAGCTTTGAAGGAGACACAACATGCTGGGAAGGGCGTGTGTGTCTTTGGATAAACATAGTCCTCGTCTTAGTAACAGGGAGGGAGAAAGAGGGAGGCTGATTTACAATAACGGATCACATAACTCTTCCTTCTTTCCTCCAAAACCACCACCTACTTGTCATAACTTTTTATAGATCTTTCATTTCTACAGTCATGGGTATTTCTGTGTCAGTGTTTGTCTATATGTCTACAGTGAATGTCTGGTTTGGGGCATCCATGTGGAAAGAAAACTATAAATATAAATAAGCCACTATACATTAATCCCTTTCAAGAAGCCTTATTGAGGTCTGCCAACTCCAACAGGGTTTTTCTAAACCATGTCTCTAGTTTTATGGATATTACGTTAAACTAAACTCAAATTCTAAAGGGACACAGTATGTGTACACAAATAAGGCACCCTATGCCTATGCACACAATCCATGCTCAAACCTGAAAAGTCAAAGAAAAAAGAAAACGGTCAATAAAAAGGGATGCACAAACCAGACTGAGTCTGAGAAGTGTCCATCTATGACACACACACACACACACACACACACACACACACACACACACAAACACACACACACACACACACAC